CATTAAGCCAGATTGGTCAATTCTTCATGCCTGCTTCGTCCCATTCACAGAATTGACGGTAGCAGAGGAGAAAGAATTAAAAATGAGGGAAGAAGGAAGAAAGAGTTAAAGACGGGAGAGAGAGTTCTCAGGAACCTCGTGGAATGGACCGTCGAGAAGGTATCTTGCACTAAAGGAGTATAGCTGATTGACCGGGGAATTGGTACTCGTGTGAACCTGATGCTCCGCCAATGTCAAAGTTTTTGGTGTCATGATTCTGGTCGTGTACATGTAAGTAGGGCTAGGTAATACGTAGTGTATAGGCGCCGATCTGAGACCGGGGATGATTGCAAATCTGAGCAACCTAAGTAGTGTACACTACGATGTACTCTGTTACTAACCTTAGCATGTATCAGATACTGAAGAAGTTTGATCGGCTTGATAATCGTACGCGATTGGACGCAACTGTGTGCGGAGTATTAGTAAGAATGTATGTCAAAGCAGCCGGGCATATAGCTAGTTGTCTAGGGGCTTTTTTTTTTTCATTTAAATGAAGCTTGTGGTACAGCTGCCAATGGCGAGTTCTGCGCAAGGCCCTCACTTCGCTGTTGAATCTACTGTTAGTGTCGTTGATGGAGAATGTGGACATCTCACAATATCTTGCTAGTAAGTTGTACTATATGAAGGTATGTACCAGCGCCGTAGCAGGTATGTAGGTTATGCAGTGTCATGATTGGTAAAGAGCGGCCTGAGTGCTTAGACCGGTGCTTAGACGACATCACGGAGCAGCATCTTTGCTAGCTCCGTCTGCGATGCAGTTTGGCGGAGACAAGACAAAGCACTAGGTTAGTTCTCAGTGGGGTGTTATCTTTGCATGAGACCAACGAATCTTCAAAATTACCTTGGACGTAGCAGTGTAGAGGGGGCAAAAGGCGGGGTGATGTCGCCATGGAACAACACCAGCTGTTGGCATAGATATTCCAGACAGGGTTTTTAGCGGATTCCACATTCCACGGGCACCTGCGGACAACACTAAGTGTCATCCTCGTTCCACATCGTATGAAGGTTGGTCCGCATTCTGTCCGGACCCTCCACTTTGATATTGTAGGCCAGCTCGGCTTGGTCGTTGTCGCTGTTGTCGTCATTCTTCACTATTGACAACCCACTGGATGGACGGCCTGGGTTACTGTCTTGTGGGAGGAATATGTGGCGGTTCAAGTGACAGGAAACTAGCCTGTGACAAGGCATTTGTGGGATGACCTCACCCCCTTCTCAGCCCTGATAGCCGGGCTCTCCGTATTTCTTTTTTGTTCCAAAACGTTTGCTCGCATCACAATGTATCGAGAGCACTTTGCCGAGGCAGAACCGGGGAGACCCTGGCTTACATTATCACCAACGCTGGACTGGGAGCAGCTACTCATGTGTATTTGTATCGGCTCCCCCAACTTGATCGCTGTTTAGACTGCGCTTCAGCTGATCGGCTAGGATCATGTCATCGAAGATCACACAGGCCACGGGAACACCATACAAATGGTGGCCGGCTGAGTGAGTGAATGCGATGGTGATATCCGGCCATGGCTTCAGCCGTGGACACCAGGTTGACTCTCACCGAGTCACATCCCCTCTAGCCGTGCTGTGTCACCGTGGCTTCGCTTCTCCACAGAGGCCTCGCTTGTTGCGTTGTTTGCCAAGCATTGAAGATGCTAGGTGCCATTAACCTGCGCTGCAATGCCCTATAATGACAGATCCATGTATATATGTGTGAACTGGCTGGGACGAACTGAACGAAGCACAACACGCATTGCTCTGTACTCGTAGTTCGGGACATGTTCTGCATCCACTACTGTTCTTTGGCGGTAACAAACGTCTCCGTTCCTGTGCCACTAAGTGGCCGCTTGCCTGGTTGATATCGCGGAAAGTCCCGAATCGGGTGGTGCTATGCTATACCCCCAGGACCGCAGTTCATAATAGATCCTCTTAATAGTCTGACACAAAGACAAGGGATATCTAAAAGATCGCTCGATTGAACCAAGAAGTGGGCCACAAGGGTTACCATAGTAGTGTACAGTAGCTCCTAGACGATTCTCAGTGATACGGGTCATTTATCCTGCCGCGATACATCCACAAGCTCCCTCTATTCATGGTTGGTGGAAGTTTGGCAATGTTGGAGTCTAGAGGCAATACACGATAGGGACATGACCTGGAGGCCTGTATACCAAGTAGGGTGCTGAACGACGGCGTCGAAGTAACCCCACTGCTCGTAGGTATGGTCACTATGGAGGCTTTGACTGCCTCTTCTACTACCTAAGGTAAATCATCTCTTCTGACTTTAATCAAAGCGGCTAGTATAACACACCTAACCCATGACGTCCAACAGAGACCGGGGTATGCAAGTAGTAGGTAGGGTGTTCTTAGGGGGGCGATGCCTCCTACGAATGATCCTGGGGGAGTACAAGATGTGTGCCTGCAAGTGTAGGTTGCACTGGGAGGTCGATCCTTACGCTGAGCTTCTGACATCGGCACTGATGGTGACAAGGCCTCGAGAGGACCAACAACGACAAAAGGCGGCGGTTTTCGTCGGCCTAGGACGGAGAAGGGAAGGCATTCGAAGTCAGCAATGCTGGAAGAGGAGAGACAGCCAGTACCTTGCAGACTGCGCCATGGTGGACGATGTTGGTCGTTCGTGGTGAACATGTGGGACGCACGCCCTCCAACTCACACGATACTACTGGACGAGACATCGAATAAGCTACAGTGTGGTCAAGACACGCGATGCTGCCACAGACCACATGGCACTGGGTGCCCATTAGTCAGTGGCTTGTTCTAAGCCCTTGGACACGGGGGTTCGTAGGTACTATACCTCCCTGATTAACCTTGTCGTTGGGATTTCTGCTATCAACGCCACCGTTCGCCATGCTCGCTTGTTACGGCAGGTAGGCTCTTGCAGGTAGGTAATATCGAGTGCTTAGTACTGTAACGTAGCTCTGTGAATAGTTCTGCGAATAGCTCTGTGGGTGACGAGGCCAGCTCGAATCGGCTCGAACTGGCAGCCTTGTGCAATAGTCTGCGGGCTGGCCGCGCCGTTATTGGCGGCGAAGATGGTGATGAGATGGTGACGATACGATATATTTGTCTTGATTCAGCCATGATACTGTGAGGCGTTTCATAGCGTTGGAGGAATAACTCATTCATATACAAGGTAATTGTCCCAAGCGGCCGACGCAGGTCCTGAGACAGCGGTTGGCTACATATGTACATACATCCCTAAGCAAGTACCTACCAGGTAAGGTTAAGTACCAATATACTACTGCACTCAACTAAATCAACTATTACAGCGGGCAGACTGCAGTGGGGTTCACTGGGAGCACGGACCTCGAATCTGTAGTATCTCCCTCGGTTAGGCACTCCAGCGTGTGAAGTACCTAAGGTATACCTACCTACATAGTATACCTTATTTATCGCTATGACACTATCTGCCTAGGTAGGTACTGTGCTTTGTACTGTGGCTCCCTTACTCCGAGTGCAGCTTATCTCTGATTTTTGATTTTTGGAAGCCGAGCAGACATTCAGAAGACAACCAAAAGGATACTGCTAGTGTAGTATATATATACTCGTACGGACAGGTCTTTACAGGTACCGGTAACCCATACTCTGCCCACACCTTATTACCTACCTAGGTATGTACATACCTATGTATGTAGGTACATACAATACTCCCTAGGTACCTACTTAGGTAGGTAGTGTAGGTAGTGCATGTGCTGCAGGGATTTCAGGGCCAACAGTCTACCTAGGTAGGTGGGAGTACACTGTAAGTATTTTCTATCCATCTTCTATCCGTACCTACATAACGATACTTACTTCACTGCTCTTAACCGTCTTTTTGACCGTTTTCTTCTGCCCACCCTTGTCAGGTTGTTGTCCGTCTCGCCTTCGCCCATGTTGTTCCAAGTTCACAATATCCTGACTACCAACCGCCAAGTTTAGTTTGAATCAACTTGAGCTTGACACAGCTACGCTCTAACTTGCCGGAGTAACTACATCAAGAGTAGTATACATGGACCCCAAGACATCGACATCGTCTATTCGCCATGTCGACTCGCAGGCGGTGACCCCGTGTTCGACACATCTCTTCGTGGTTATGATATTCCCTGGGATGGTCCGGTATAGTCTGGGAGCCATGCTTGCTTGCTTGGTCTGGCCTGGTATGTAGCATCGTAAGTATGTACTCAAGTAAGTAGGCATGGGATGGAGAGGCGCTATAGCCTCAATATCCAGGATGATGCCTATACCCATCTTAGTAGCTGCACGTACTATGTAGGCACGTCGTGCTGTACTGTACACGTACGTGCATCTACACACATCATACAGCACGCACGCCTTGGCAATGGCGCCATGCGAGGAATGGTAGGGTGTAGCTGGCTAGCTGCTGCAACCCGTCACGCTCGTCCCATACTGCTGCTACATACATCTAGGTAGTCCACACTTGCTATCGTACGGTAGGTAGTGGGATTGGGATATCTACCTAGGTACGGAGTACTGGATGCCGTCCGTCAAGTCAATCCAGACGGAGGTATGTGTACTTATGTCTGCCCTTCAGCTGCTTGGGACAAAAAGCCGGGTGTGTACCAGACTCCTGGGTCCTCCTCTCCTTCTGTCGTTATCTATCCTTCGACGCCCTTTTCCTCTTCTTGTCTTGGTTCTTCTCGTTCTTCTTGTTCTTCTTTTTCGTCTCCCTGGTCCTCGCGTTCTCCTCTCCGGGATTTTAGTCCTCCGTCGTCCTTTTCCACGCCGGTCCCCGGATAGTCCCTGGATGGTCTCTTCGGTAGTCTACCGCCGCAAACCCGGGATTGGTAGCCATTAGCCATTGGTTGTCAGCCTCTCTCGCCCAAAGTGAGGAAAGCAACGACCAGGTAGTCAAATGAGCCTCGTACAGCACGTCTTCCCGTCGCCTGGACTGATCAACAGCGGAACGGGGTGCCACACCGGATCACTCGGAGACACTGCAATACTTTGGTCGTGGGCTCCAAGCTGGCGCAACAGGAACGGGGATCGGTCTCGCGCTCTGGTCCATCAGCCAGGAGCACGGACGAGAGCATTACAGACTTAGGGACAGGCGTAGGCCCAGGCTCGAGTTCAAACTTGGACGTACGCACAGGCGCAGACATAGGCATAGGTACAGGCATGTTCCAGCCTCAGCCAACCCCGTACTCGACGTTCTTTCCATATGGACTTCACGTAGCGAACGCGGGCCTCCCCGACTACTCCTTCGAGCCGACGCCATTGCTAGGCCAATTTGGCGGAGGACATATCGGGGGAAACGTAGCAGCTGGTGATGGTGACGGCGGAGCTGTACGTGCCTCTGCGCGGGCTTACACGACAGCATCGACCAATGCTTTCCACGTCAGTGCCAGTGGCAGCGGTGGCAGCGGTAGCGGTGGCCCGGCGAGCATGGGTCTGGGTCTCATACAGGGCCTCGGGCTGCCTTTACCCACCACAGTAGCCGCGCCCAGCAGCACCAGCACAGCCTACCGCCACAGCGGCGGTAGCGCTAGCAGCGCCCACCCTGGCCTCTATAACACTTCCATGTCCGCCGTAGTTGTCCCGCGCCATCATCAACACCACCCACAGCACCCGCTCCAGGTCCAGCACCAACATCATCAACCTCAACATCGGCACCGACCCCAGCACCCGCACCCGCACGCTCCGCGCCGCAGCGTCATCAGCTACAAGATGGATCAGCAACAGGAGCTGGACCCCAACGACATCGCCCAGCAAGAGGCCGCTGCGAGGGATTATGAGCCTCGGTTAGCCGTAAGTAACCTCTCCAACGACATGGATGGCTTGGCCTACCTATCATTCACCCCTCTCGCCCACTCAAGCAGGCCGTCATAGCATTCTTGTATGGCGCGGGGTGTGAAACGTGTGCATGCGTATACATATATATATGCGCCTATATAATGATAATTGCTCAAGCGTCGCCGATGGCTGGCAGGGCCATGGACGCTGCACGTTGATGAATTGTATCGTCTTATCGCCATGTCTCATCAACCTCCCCTGCTGCCTTGCTGTCACTCCAACACGTCGAATTGTGAAATGTAGGCAGATGTTTTAATGACTCACGCTCACAACTTGACTACAGGGTCCTCTGGTCGGCGAGAAGACATCCAGCCAGGCCATCACAGAAGAGTACGCAAGAGCGGATCCCGCCTTCGTCGCCAAAACCATGGTCAGTTCCACGTCCTGAAAGCATCGTACTGGTTCTCAATTATTGACGCTCTGATGCATTACTTAGGCTCTTCCTCAGACATACTCACACTACCGACCCATTCAAGGTGACGGCAACTGCGGCTACCGAGGTGAGCTTCTCATTCATATTCTCAATTGAATCTTTCCCTGGTCTCTTTTCTTTTTAACCCCTCTCCTCTGTACCCTATTCTAGCTTCTCTATGCCGCCCACCCTTATCCAAACCAAACCCTTCGGAGAAACGCCAGAATTTCCGCCAATTACCTGAAGAAGGATAATGTTTTGCACAGTGACGTTTTCAATTTCCCCCTTACACGACATACATCCTCCACTGATATGATTAAGCTCGCGGTTTCTCTCTTAAAGGAACACCGATGTTAACCTAAGCCACAGCTATTGCATTTGCCTATTTCGAGACACTGGTGCAATGCGGCGACGTCAACCTCGTCCAGAGCGAGTTGGATCGCATGAATGTCCTCAATAAGTATATCGAAGATGTTGGTGGCCAGGACGCTTCTATGATAGAACTCATGGTCTCGGAAACCATCGACTTGTTCAACGACCTCATTTCGGCCATGTCTGAAGGCAGTGGTGCTATGTCTATTTTGGTGGCTAAATTCAATGACCCCAGCATATCCCAATGCCTTGTCTATCATCTTCGTTTACTAGCATGCGCAAGATTAAAGGGGCACGCCGATCAATACGCGTCATATCTCGACACAGACATTGAGACTTATCTCGCCACGACGGTGATGCCTGTCAATCGAGAGATCGACCATATTTGTGTGGTCTTGGTGCATGACATCCTGTTGAAGCCTGTGAACATAGTGCTTGAGATTGCCTATTTGGATCGCAGTGAAGGCAGCGAGGTCAATGTGCACCGACTTCCCGACGAGGCTAATGGGCAAGATCCATCCACCCTAGGCCCTGTCATATATCTCTTGTACCGGCCTGGTCATTATGACATTCTTTATCCTGATCATCAGGTTCGCGCGCCACCAGTCCCGCCTGTCCCAGTCACCCCAGTCAACCTTCAGATCAATAGGGTCACATCATTTGTGCCTCACAACCAGGACTATGAGAATCAAGTACCGGCATTACAAGACACATCATTTACGATGGACATGGGTGTATTAGCTATGATTCCGGGACTATCGTCGTCCTTTGGCCCTCCTTCCGCTAGCCCATCTCCGATGACGGACCAATATGCAGCTTCCCCTGGCCCGTCTTGGGTCTCACAACCAGGTATATCGGCATCCCTTAACCAGCCGACTCCTCCGCAGCCACGGGCGACGGACCATCCAGTTCGCTTCAGCAAATATAGTTTTCTTCCCAACCCCCAAGAAGCCGCAACGGGAAATAACACATATGAACCTTCATGCATGACCAATACCTTTAAAAATAGTCATTTCAACACGGCGCACTATAATAACCAAAATTTCCAACCGGAGATGTACCAACCAGACGCCGAAGAGGAGGCCCAAAGTAGTGGAAATAACAGGATAGGGGGTCGAAAAAGGAGCACCGAGAATTGCTCAGGCATAAAAAAGGAGAAGTAGGCATAGAGGAGTCTGCGGGTCTTGCTTCATTGCGCTAGTCTGGTTGCATCTTTTAAACCGGTGTTGCGGCTCGTAGTGATTTCACCTCTTTATGCTTTTATTCTTGTCCTGTCATTTGTTTTTTTTTTTTTTCACGCGCACTTGGTATATCAACAGAGTGACCAATTCTAGCAAGGAGTTGTTGTGCTTTTTGTTACGAGCGAATCGGCATTATGGCTACGGCATAACGGGAGCACGCGGGCTAATGCGTCGACCCCGTCGCGATGAGAACACGACTTTATCGTTTACGTTATGAGACAGACAGCATTGTGCTTTAGGGCACGATTGAAAAGAGTCCATGGGACAACGTGACGCTTAATGGCCAAGGAGAGAGAAGAAGCAGGACTGGGAGTGCATAGGGTTGTTGCCTTCATACACACACACATATTGAGAGAGTATGAGGGAGAAAGACAGGCTAAATTGAGACTGGAGATAGATTGTTCCCGGACTCTAGAGCAACAACGTCATAATCTCAAGATTAAGAAAGGAGTTAAAAAAATTAACAAGGACCAACTCGTGGGATACCCTGCAGCATAATTTCTATATCACCCTGATTCCTATCATCATTCCAGAAGGCAGCCTTCTTTCAGCCATCGACTAGAGGCGCGCACCAGTAAGCGAAGGAGCCCACCCAGCTGTATGTATATGTGTGTATGAATGAATGTATGCAAGCATCACGTTGGCCACATCGACGGTGTACTATGTGAGGCGCACACCCAGATGCGAGTCGGAACGCCTCTCCCGATGTCGGTGGCTGTTTATTTGTCGGTTTGGAAAAATTCGCATGCCAACTACTCGCTTCGCAAACATGGATATCCCTTGCCTTAGAAACAGATACATTATACACACACCGCATGCTCTTCACCTGAACCTTGACCTTGCATTTTTTTTTTTTTGTACCTTAGCTTCATGTCTCGAATTCTCTCCACAGTAAAACTGATGTCCATTATCTAGCTTGGTACTTACTTGGATTGGTATTGAGCAGGTAACAAGTACGGTAGGTAGGTTAATGCAAGCAGTGCAGTATCAGACGGGAAACATTTGAACGTTCGTGCAGCCTCGCCCCTCCCCCCCAGCGGAGACCCTTGTTGAAATGACAACCACAATGACAACCAGTGCTAAATAGTTGTGGTTCGGTTAGTAAGTACATTCATTCAATAGACCTTACGCGTTTTTTTTTTTTTTATTCCCGTAGGCAAAATCAGACGATGATGGATAGGTATGTTCCCATTGAGTAAACTGTCTCACCTGGAAAAAGGAATGGAGATAAACATGGCACGATCCGTTCTGTCAATCATGCTATCAACCCTAAACTAAGAATAGCAGCCGAACGTGATATGTAGTAGGGTAACTGCATACATACACATACATTTACATGTTATTGTTGCATTACATGTGTGCGGCAGACAGCAAGTTAGTAGGCACGTATATATGTACTTAGCCCATCGAGTAAGCAACTTGATTAAGCACGTAGGTAGGTATGGTATGTCTGTAAGTACTCATCTGTTCCGTCCGTCTATAAGTCGGTCCGTTACGTATGTAGGTAGGTATGTAGGTATGTATGTATGTATAAACCGTTGTCATATACCTATACTGTATCATCATACAGTACCGACCGTACAACGCCATGCCATGCCATGCATGCTCGAAGGATGGTGGCGGCCTACTAAGTAATATGTAAGTGTAATATATTGTCCTGTCCTCGTTGGGAACTCCACTGACAGATACCAACTGCAGGCTATGTAATTACTATCACGCTCGCGCACGCACACCACCGGCCAGCACTAGTACGAATCAAGATCCGCCACGAGGAGTCAGAGTCGCAGCAAAACTCGTCGTTAGATGGGTTGGTTAAGACGGCGCGGCGCGGCGCGGCGCACGTACCGCACCGCACCGCACGCACCGCTCGCACACATCTATGGATACATACATGTCCAGCCCAGATATGTCATGAGTGAATGTCGACAAGGGATGGCTACATGAGACTGCCACCTACCTACCTAGCTACATGCATACCTACCTACTACTTATCGACCTAACTGGCTACCTAGTAGTCCAATGCAGCAAGCCCCAGGAAAACCTTCATCCAAACGCATCCAAACGCGCTACACTAGGCTCAAAAGGGGCCTGCTTGCGGTCGAGAGTTTTGTCTACTATAGTACACTGACAGATTTCTCTTCATCAGCGAGACTCCGAGAAATTGCGGAGATCAGGTTTCCGACGTGGCGGCTGTGTTGTTCGGGAATACCCGCTGGTTTAGTGTATACTAATGTGGCTACTCGTACTAAATAGGTCTCTCCACTGATCTCTGTGTAGGTGAGTAGCGTACCTAGTAGGTACAGGTATTCTCCATTGCGTGGTGTACTGTATAGTATATCCAAGGCAAAAAAGGGCTAGGTAGTGTGAGATTTCAGATTATGACTAAAATACCCAGTCGGCATGTGTTCCTTCTGCTAATGGGATGTCATGTCTGGGAGATATGGGCGCTGTGGATTGGCTTGGTTTCTGCGAATAGGATGTCCATGAAGCCCCTTCGTCTAGAAGCCAGGACAAGAGTAGGCCTCGATTGTAGTCATAGACACCTAACCTCACTGCGTATCGTCCTGGTCATATGCCTTCTCAGGTTTCACGTTGCATAAATGTGATGTCGGGTGGGTTCCAATCCTGGAGAAAGGCTTGGGCTGGGAACACAAAAATTGTGATGACGAGGATGGGAATGCATTAAATCCGGCGCTGTATACACATATAGCGCGCTCATCCCTATTCGCGTGCGGCGAATGGAGCAGACCCCGACAGAGGCTGGGGTTCATTGGTTAGTGAGAGTGAGTATGTACTATGTCCATCGAGGCCTCAGTCCGTCAGCCCGCCCTCCCAAGAGAGGAGCCGACGTCATCAAACAGGCACGGTCCCTCACCGGCGGCCGAGCAGCCTATCGCAGGGCACGAGTCGCAGGAAAGCCAAGTGCGTAGTATGTTTGACGACTAGAAGAAGCTGAGGTTGAGACCCCGTATGATACGCCGGCACTAGGGAACAGAGATTTCCAGAAGGCCCACGCATCGCCTAAGGATGCAAGCAATATTAATACACTCACGTTATTTATCGAGGTCACTGATGGGGCGAGCGTGAACCCCAAGGCCATCCCAGTCTTCAATTAGGGCGCTGAAGCTTTTCATGCGCTGGACAAGGTCGAGCTCGGTCGCCCCATCGGTGACATCGTCGCGCAGCTTCAGTCGTTTTTGGAATTCGGAGCGCCAAGTCTCCCCTAAGGTCGCCAGTGCGGTATTGTTGTCCTCCTGACTGGTGCCGTTGCCGATGCCGAGTTCTGCTTGAACACTTGTGACGCCACGGTCTCCGAGACCACAAGCCACGATGCGGTCCCACGGGTTAGTCTCCGAGGGGCCCGATACTGGCGTGCTGTAGTTGATGGCAACGCCAAGGCCTGTAACGTGACGGCGAAGATGGACGCCGAGGGCCGCAATCTTCCGCTCATCCCCTCCCGCATCTAACCCCCGAGCACCCCCAGACCGCACCCAGACGCCTGGGTTCTCCGTTGTGAACCCGGCGAGCCCCCACAGTCGCTCAAGAGTTGCGATCGTCGTCTTCTCGAGCAAGCAGGCGTAGTCACGCACGGACAGGTGTGCGTGCCAGGGGGAATGCAGATCGATAACGGGCCAAATGACGAGCTGACCGGGGCCATGGTACGTCGTCAGACCGCCACGAGGCGCATGGGTGATGTTTGGCAAGAAGAAGGCCGCTTTTCCGCGCCTGTCATTTCCACCATTATTCGCGATCCATTCCTCGCTCTCACTCGGGTTCGGCATAAATAGAGGTGATCGCAAACGAGCGACCTCGCTCTCGGATAACGGCTCCGTCTGTCGGCGGCCGAGAGTATACGTCGGCGTCGGTGTGAAGCAGAGGATACTCGGCGGTGGTGTTGGGCCGCGTGTCTTTAACGGCTGGGCCTTCCAGGCTAGGAATTCCTTTTGCAGCGCCGTCTGCATACGCGACGCGAAAGCGTAGCTAGGGAATTGGGGGAGGACGGCGCTTGGGTTGGACGGCAGGGTTAGGTATCGGAGGGTGGCCATTGGAGAAAGGGCGGTAGGATCTAGGATCGGATCAGGAATTGGCTGGGCCGCGAGGCATGGGGTCCCGCGTGATACCAAAGCTTCCTACACGTAAAAAAAAAAAACGATAATGTAGAATGCTAAGGCACGTGGATACGTGGATGGATTTCACCTAGCTCCCAAGTTCTCAGAGAACCTCGAAGTGAGACAAAGAGTGATGAGGCAACGGTCGGAGCTTTTCGGTGAATTTCGGTGAAGACGGCGTTAGCGGCAGGTTTTCGGTGATTAGTGGTTACCAAAATGGGTAAGTCATTTCTGACTCCTTGGATACGGTACCTGCCTCTGAGTAAGTGACCTAAATTAATTTGTACTGAATAAGTTCCGAGTCGTCGTCACACGAGATCGACTGTGCCATGAGGTTCCCCAACTTTTGCTGACATGCTAATAATACTAGCCTACCAATGGTGTGCCGAAGTTGCATTTCACCGTTGATAGTCCGGGGGGGCACGTATTGGCGATGGTGAGATCACGCTCTCGCCAGAGCAAGCTCTGCAATAACAACGACATCTCTTCTGTCCTGACATCGTACGGTACATCCAGTAAACGATGGGAAAGCCTTGGTTGAAAGACGGACATATCCCTCGTGAGAGGTGTCGGGTCCTACCATTGGCGGCCAAAAGCAATAAAATCATCTCGTCTCACGCAGGTTCTAGCCGTTGGAAACAATAAAGCATGGCATCAGCCGCAACGCGACGCGACGCAATGCCGGGTACTTTTCTCCAAATCCTGCTGGGTGGCGTTTGACACGGCAATGATCGGAGCCGGGAAACATCGTCACCGGCATCACCGCTTGCCCTCGTCGCATGTGGAAGCGAGCACATGACCAAGTCCAGCCACACGTATGTGCCTACATGTGACTGACGAGAACTGTTTTCTCACCGCCTTAGCCCAAAGCAGCATCCCGCGCCGTCGGATTTTCGTGAATTATCGGTGAGATTCTGCTTGGTTGGTACGTGTAGCCACCCCAAGCGAGTAAGCTGCATGGGGGCGATTCTGGGACCGAAGCGAACCTTCTTTCGAGCCGTCATCTTCCACCCTCCCGTTTAGGGAGTCGGTGGAAACACAAAGTTCCTTCCCAATGCCGGACGGTCCAGAGGCGTGGTTGTTCTGCCGGTCCCATGACCACGGTACCTCCTTTCGTGTTACCCCCCTTTCCCCCCTTGCCTCTTACTCAGCTGTTTGACCTCACCTCTTGCCGGAGCGTTCGGTACAACAGGCTCCGCCGTGTACTCATCCCGTATGGTGCAGTAGCGGATATAACTGGTAGCGCTTTCTTATCAGTGGTGGCAAGATGATGGTTCGAGAACTAACAGGTTGTTTCATTCGCGAATCGTAAGATTCATTCTTGCTTCTTTCTAACCTGATTCCTCGCAAACAACTTCCCAGCTTCTGGATCGCCGACCTCAGCTGTAGATGAAAGTGCAACTGCCGCTTATGCCCGTCTCAACGGTGGCGATGTCCTCTTGCTCTCATCTTCAATCGGCCCGGGAACTTTTGTTCGGTATTCTCACCAGAAAGAGTAGTCCCGGGAGGATACGGCGAATATCGCACGAGAAGTCAATACCAAGTACCGGTACTTTTCTGCTATTGAGAAAGTCTAACGATGTACCTCTACAACGTGAGACATTTCGGCTTGGGCGGGTCAATCAAGCGCCAACAAAAGCAATGCTAACAGGTAATTGAGGGTAACTCGTGTTGATATTCAGAGGCCTTATTTGCCAATAGCACAGCAGTTGGATGCGAGCCAGATAGCTGAAGACCCATGTCTTCATCATCAGCGTACGAATTGGAGCACTCTAAAAAAAATATTGTAATGCCCTCATCAATCAGATCACGCATATCATTCGCTTCGCCTAAGGATTAGAATATTACATATCGTTATGCATGAAATCGAGAAGCTAGTGTTACGACTACCGGCATCTAGAATAAAGCAGCGGTGAAGTCGCCCCTTTGGAGGGGATGTAGGCTCTTGCGATCATGCCCATACGTGACGATACGAGGTGAAGACCGGGGCAACCAATTATGATTGTTACTATCAAGGGTATTCACGGATTTTCATTATTTGAAGCCTCTGTCCGCTCACGAGCTAAGTAATTCGCGCTCATTGGCAGGTCATCACCGCCACACTGACGATGATATGATCTAGGCACCAGGGGCTGTCGTACAAGTGACAGGGTCCACGCTTATGCTTACATGAATTGAGGAACATATGATTGAGATGTTATACCGTATTACACGGTATAGAAGCGCTGTGGCAATCGACAAAATGAACGCCTCCGATTCCACAGATGAAATACCCAGACCGCCAAGTTCGGCCCCAGCTACACCTAGCCGAACGTTCTCAAGCTACGTTGCTCATCTTTACATTTAAAATCGATATGATTTGGGCATCTGGTCACAAGACTGAATCGCCTTGTACACTGTAACGTGATATTTTCAATTATTCTCTCAGTCATTCGGGGCGCCATCCCATGTCAATATAGGTACGGAAAGCATGCCCAGCATACCTATCGCCCCCAACGTAGAAGGAACAGTAGAGGCCGGCCCCCGAATCATATCAGCGTCAAACTCAGTTTCAAGAAGCATCTGGTAGACAGGCGTTTAAAGGAAGTTGATATCACGTGCAATGGACAATGCTCGCAATTCCAATAGCTCGGGACGATCCCCCTCTGCTGACTCATCGCGGCGGTTGCGGGGATCCCACTTGTTTGCCTCGTGTTTCTAGCCACCAGTGTTCCGTTCTCTACCATGGATCAAAATTCACCTTCTAACTCATCGTAACTTAGCTTCACGATTGATTACTGCCTGTTTATTCTGTTTATTTGGGCATTACCACCTATGTACAATACCCTGCTCACTAATAAATAGGCATACTAGTGTTTGTGAAAACGACACGATTGCCTAAGAAAGAATAACCCCGCCAGGGTTGTCGGGGTCCCTCGGGTATAAACACACCTCGTTATTGGAACACGTAGGATCGGAAATGGGCTTATACTGAACATTGGAATTCACTAATGGAATCAGCGTTGCGACCGGTTTGTCGCCCTCCAAGGAACACACGATAGCTTCGTCGACATTTTTCTCAGGTCTCTGGTGGGTGCACGAAAAGGGGAGGTATCCATTCCATGTGGCATTGAATAAGATGCTGCAAATGTTTTGTTAGTGGAAAATATTAAGAATGGTAGTGTTTGAGAAGGAAAGGGAGCGGCCTACGGGTGCTGAGGATCCTTATCTTCGCAATACCAACTCTGATTGAGCTCTAAGTACTGTCTGGCGAGGTCGAGACGCAGAGTCCAGCCCAAATCATTTAGAAAATTTCTTTTGTAGGGAGCAAAAGTTTGAATAGGGTTGAATGATTCAAAGTACGGGCTCATCGCGTAGCTGCCGGTGAACACATCGATCGAACCGCCACCAGGCCGACGAATCAGCGCCGAGTTGTCCAGGCGGAACTTCACATCCGTCGACGTCTGATTTGGATGGTTATCCCCACCGGTGAACCGGGTCCGCGTGACGAAGTCGCTCAGCACTATCTCAACCGGCTGGCTCAGAGATGTCACCGTGCAGCTGTAGACATCAGGGTAAGGCTCTGGGTCCGGGTTATTGAAAGCATTTCGCGGTAGCTCGATCTGCTGTAATAGCGATGCGTCGATGATCGAAAAGGAAGGTCTATGATTTGTTAGATTGCACCACCGAACATCATACTCCGGCTTGCAATGTGCTGGAGGTGTAATGGGACTTGCGACCCCGTAGCAAATAACCTCATCCTGGGTGATGTTCATCCAACCACATTGAGATCCACTGAGATGCGTCTCGCCTTGAGCAACAAACTTCATCCTTAGATTGCGGGCAACCCGTCAGTTATGTAACCACTCATCTCTTCACGTCTCAATGGCTTTGACTCACGGTGTGGCTTCCTGTGTATCGTCACAATACCATGTCTGATTCAGAGCCAGCTTATTTGTTGTCGAATCAAATTGCACCCAGGTCTCGAGGGAGTATTTGGGAAAAGTATGTCGTGCGGTAGGCTCGAAACAGGGAAACCACTGCCCGTTAGCCCAATCACCTGGGCCTGAGTTCTGGAATACGCATGTCGCTATGTGATTGTTGGCCTCGTTTAGAATCTCAACAGCAAGTGAGCGCTCTTCATAGGCACCATTATTGATGTAGTGATGGTCATCGTCGGGATTCGCTGTGAACCATAAGTGATAGTAAAATATTTTTTGCGCTATGAACCTGGAGAACTGGAGTGATCTTTGCGTGCATCCTGGCACAGACTTATCAGGGGGAGGCGGAATCGGTGCAGGGGCCAAATACCGAACTGGTTCATGTATGGTCCCTTCGAACTTGGTTCGGCTAGACGTACACTGGAGGAACATATCTTGATGAGTTTCTGCCTCGAGTGCATAGGTATATCGAGAAAGGTTGCACCTACTTCTGTACCCGAGCTGTTCACGCTGGGGCAAACATATGGTAAAAAGCCCCCAGCTGAGATATCAAATTTGGTTCTAACATTTCCGTTAGCTGGACCAATGTTCTTTTGAGAAAAACCTAAGGGGAGCAATTTCGTACTCGCGCTTTCCCTCGGGGTCACCACATATGAACCTTTGCTTGAAGTCAATTTCATGCTCTCCCCACCAGAAATCCACGTCATAGAACTCAGTCTGACTCTGAAATGGATCACCCTCGTCTTGATCTTGATCTTCATTTATACAGTAGGTGTTGATGAGACGGGTAGGATATCGGTCGTCTTGTTCAGCAGTTGGGACACAGAAAGCCCGGACTCCGGTGACGACACTCGTCAAAGTAAAGTTGAGTGAATTGCTTGTTGCTTCTTTGTTCGTAGGCGGCGGTACGAAATGGAAGTCTTCTACGATAATGTCTGGGTTAGAGAAAGCATTCGCTGTGCAGTCCTTAGTACGACCGGGACGGGCTGGTGGTGCTGTCGCCTCGTGCCCGGAGGTTGGATGAGGGATGAGCCGCGTATCGTTATATGGAGTGCGCCATTTGGGCTCTATTACTATAGGCAACCCGGTGGTAGCATTGCATGGGTCTCGTTGTTCCTCTTTTGGATCTCTACTCGGGACACAATCTGTCTGAACCATTGTTTGTCCATATGCCTCGTAGATATAGCTAGAATCCGGTCATCAGACCAAAGTACCAAATGTTTTTGTCTGTTTCGGCACAGAAGAAAGAGAAACAAATGACTTACGGGTAAGCACCAGGGCTTTCTCTATCACATATCCAAATCTGTGATAGGGTGATAATACTCGCAAGCCCATTGTTCATGTTGGTGTCGTTATCGCGTTGCAACACGCCAAAACGAGTAGTGTATGGGTCAATGTTACTACCTTCCACATGACATCGTCCAGACGCCGTGCGTTCTAGCTTGCAAATCATGGTATATCCGTTCTTGGTATCTCGAGCGGTAACATTCATATCATATTCGGGAAATTTGATATATCCTGGATAATATATTTCGAATTCAATGTTGGTGATCTCGTAGACCGGAGGCAAAAAGTCTTCTCCAAAATCACATGGGTTTGGAATGGATGCCACTCGCGAATTGGGTGTACTACTGGTTACCGAAAGAGTCGGCTGCGCCATGATCTTTGGAACAAGGTTGGGCCACGCGCTCACAGGCGGCAAACCGATGTCATTGAGTATGGACCTGCACGCCCACGTTATTATTTAGGCCAACACAGGGGAATGAAAGCGCCCCATACTGAGTCTTATTTTCGCAGGATGCCGTCGTGGCCCATAGGGCTAACAGGAAAGAGAGATATGCCATTGCCATCATGATCATCTCTACCACACCTGGCCGAGAACGCCTAGGTCTTCACATAAGGTGGCGCGGTTACACAGCTAAAGGCAACATAATACAGGACATTCATTATATGTATTACAGTTGCGAGGGCATCTCATGCCAGCATCGGAACGCTCACTCATATATATCTGCACGCCGTCAATTAGCCAATACAAACAAGTGCGCCTGCCATATCCTCAACGGTTATACTTTCAGATGAGTCGTCAGGTTCGCTCTTGTCATAAGTCCCAACGCTTGGAGTAGCCGGATTTATCCATAGTGTACCCATTGTGGCTGTTGGGGTCGGGATTCTCGACCAGCACCAGAGAATCGGTCGCTAGAGCTCCATGTGCCTTGATATCCATTTATTCTTCTGAATTGTGAATTTGTAAAGCTGGATATGCATTGGTGCACTCGGTCGTAGCAATATTTGAGGCCGTTTATAACTTCAGAGCACGATGCCAGCTTTAAAAAGTAAAATACGACATAATAATATTAATGCCAGTGCCAAGGATGTATAGATACCACCAACAAACGGCCAACATGTGTTAGTGCCGCTATGCCACTTACTCGCATAGAGTCAGAAGAAACGGAGTTGATGCAAATTAGGAGTGGTATACAATCGTCGATTAAGACATACAAGGCAGAGCAAAACAGCCGATGACAGAGCAGCTGGCCTTGAATTTAATTGTCTGTAGCTCGTGGCATGGGATATTGTCACGGGGAAAACGACGCCGTTGACGCATAAGGAATTAATGGTCTTGAGACAGCGAATATCCCACTACTCCGTAACAGATGTGCGTTAAACCCTACCTGGACTCATTTACGGTTAAAACCGAAAACGTACCAACCTGCGGAGGACCTAGTGTGTCACGACCAAACCGTCACTGAGAACATAGCAGGGTACTCAAAAATAGCCCATTCCAGCATATGTCTAATATCCCCATTGTGCGTCATTTGTTGGCTACACTGGGATCAACCCTCAAGTGGTATATTCTTGAAGAATCCACAACAGTTCGTTTTATTTTTTGCGATACATCTCCACGCCATGGTACGCACGATCCAAGCCAGCCTGAGTAAGTCTCATACTAGCTTTTGTAGTAAAGGGATCCCTGATCATGTATCACTACTTGGATTCTGCACATAGTTTTGTATAATCGATATAGTGCGTGGCGCTTGTGAACATAATCTGTAGCCATCGGTAACAGCAAGTTATAGAATGAGAAGAACATAATAGCTTAGTGAGTCTTAAGGGGAAAAGCAAGAACTATCTATAGTGTGCCAGCAAAGGCCATGTGACGAAGTTATCGAGATATAAGCACGACTACGACTTTTTGTAAGATCTATATGTATAAGAATCTACAAACCTTCCTGGACTTTTCCCGAAATCTCACCAAGGAAGATGAAAAACGTGGGTTTAGTTATCACCAGGTTTAAGACAGAAATAAGCTACATGATGGCTTGCTTAAAATCAACTTATAATCAGCACTTAAACGCTAACAGCTTCTATTTAAAACCCCCTTTAAAGTCTTTTTTTAAGATTTTTTCAAAGTTTATACTTACTTGATGAAAATGCCTCTTGTTTTGATGGCACAGGTTCTGAGTGGTGTTGATGAAGGAATAACTTTCACCATGCGGATGGTGTTGGGATTTCGTCGCCATACCTTTACCTAGCTCTTCCTCACCTCCTACTCTTGCTTTACATATTGTCAGGTCTCTGATAAATGAATTCATTAGTGTATTCATGGACCATCTATGGCGGTTACAATACAATGTCGCTTATATGCGGCGCAGACTAAGCCGTACGTAGGAGCAATAGCCGACGCATATTCGAAACGGATATTGCGTTTTAGACTTTCATTACGTACTTAACAGGCAATAAGGGACATCGGTTTCATCGCTTGATACAAAGGCGGACCCGCAGATTCATGAGATAGAAGGCATGACGGGATCTTAATAAATCCGGTCCGTAGACCTACAAATTATGCGAACAAGGATGAACAAGTAGTGGTTTGGATGGAAACGAGAGAACTTCGTCTTGAATGGAGCATTCTAGATACTCTCTAGTATAACTCAATGGTCTGGCTATAAATGATGGTCCTTGGTGATGCCGCTAAAATGAAACTAGCTACCGTTGACGATAATTCTAGATCATGGCCTAACGGGATAGCCCGAGCACGTGTTAGAGAGCCTCGAGAAGATAAGGAGTTCTTGAGGCGCACCAAACTAGTTGCCCCTAAGGTAGTCTAGAGCTGGCTGGATTGTACCGTAGCTCAGGTTAAGGGGGGCCAGCCGTTGACTTTTGAAGAATGCTGGTACGTCTATGTGATATGAATGAATTTCTATTTTATAGCACGTGGACACTACTATTATATAACATGAGCAACTCAAATGGCCGGAGTCCTTAGCTACGTGACATGTATGCAGTCTACCCATGGTAGCATTCTGTCCTGGTGGGTTCAGACTCCAAGCTGTGCATTAGATCCTTCTGTTTCTCTTCGAGGACCGCTCGCTTCCTTGATGTCAAACCTGCTGAAGGCTCCAATAGCAAAGCAGCACCAACTTCGAATGCATACTTACCAAACTCAGCAGCGGGTAAAGTAGTGAAGCTTTCAGCAGGTTTTTCTTCTTCCCCTTTCTTTTTCTCCTCGCTCTTTCTTCATAAATCTATTCCTTTTTTAGAAGGAGAATACAGAGGCCAGCGAGATGTAGCGCGCTATGCGGCAATGCGCGCATCCGTTGTCGCCGACCTTGGCCTGAAGCTGATACTCGAAGAGGCGGCGGCGGCGGCGGACGAAGAGCAGGGAGGGTAATTAGTCAAGTAATTGCTAGTCAGATCAATCAACCAGTTCATCACCGCCTCCTCTGTGTGTCTGCATCCTCGGTGGTGGCGGCGCAGTACATGTAGAGAGAGAGAGAGAGAAAGTGTGTATGTAAGAGACGAAACAGCATCGCCGTCCTACGACCTGCTACAGTCGCTTTAATGCAATGCTGCGCAGCACGCATGTACATGTGGTGCACACTGGCTTAGCTACATATGTACACGACGATGGGCGATCGCCAGGACTTTTTGCTGTTTGCGGGTTCGCTAATTGACACGTCACCCGCTCAAAATTTTCTGATTTGTTTGCAGGTAAAGGGCACACACAGATGGGTTTCGGCCTCACGGCCAATGTGCTGTTGCTGTGAGATTATCAAGAAACCGGTAGGTATTTCCGACCGTGGCTTGAAACCCCGCACCCCAAAAGCCAACCACCCCTCTCTACACTATGAATGGAGACTATTCCTATGGCGGCGTGTGTTTACTAAAGCTGAATTTGACGCGTGCATCGTTAGCAGCAGCCGGGATCTCCCTGGAGCGATCCGTGTTGCAGAGGGTTGCAAAGGGGTCCAGGGGGGTCTGGCTGTCAATATCTGACTTACCCCATCATGGGAGATCATGGGATCTGAGTGTAATTGCACGTCAAACCCGTTTTCTTTGTGCAACGTCAAACCAGAGCCGAGGGAGGGTGGACGAAGGTCAATGTACTGCAACTTGATGAGCAGGATTAGCGGTCGGGCGATCTCTGTCCAACCTGTCCACCTGGTAAATTATTGTCCGGGCTGGGGCGGGAAAGATTAAGTTTACATAGTATCTCGATAGTACACACTACAGCACTTTCGGCTTGCAGACACAGACAGGGATCGCACAGATACCTATCTCACAAGTAGGTTGCTGACGGTGCATGTAAAAACCCGCACTACCTTTCTTGGTAACCGACAGCAGTTCCCATTGGTTCCAGCGAACGGCTCTGTGGGTTCGGCGGAATGCCTACCTGGTAATGGGAATGGGAATACGGGGAACACGAGCTGCCTGGGCTGGTTTACAGATAAGCAAATGCTTCTCAATAAAATTGCCCACAGAGAAACCGAGCAAGTGGTGTAATGTATGGTCCCAGCATATCGAGGGGAAAGAGAAGAGTTTCTACTCTGTGACCCATGACTATTCGAATAACATGGGCTGCGTACTAGTTCCCTCCACATATTCACACAAACGAGTCCGCTACCATGTCAGCTTACGTGTAGAAGTCATATCTAAGGATAGCTCTTGGAGCTATGGCCACTGCTATTGCTAGCCCGTCAGCCACAAAAGAAATACCTATATCGCTTATCAATGAATACATGTGAAGAATGGTCGTTCTAGTATTCTGGCCCGGGCGGTAGGGTCGCCTTGACCTAGAGGCTAGAGGCGGCCTTATCAGCCTCAGCTCGTCTGTGAGTTCTCTCGCATTGTTGAACTTGTGGGGTATTAGATTGCATACATGTAGGTAGTTTGAGAGCTAACTGTTGTGAGGGATCTATAATCGCTGAAGCGGCTGCTAAACAGTCAAGACATCACCTCGCCGGCTCGAGCGAGTACTTCAAGTATGACCGAAGCTTGTATGATTAGCCTGAAGGGGCTCTGCCCCTATTCCAAGCTTCTCGCAAACTAGCGATTTCATCAAATGGTGAGGGGCCACATCGATAAAGTGAACCGGGGAAGAGGATGCACGGTCCCATGAACCCGGGAGACTGGGTGTAAGAGCAGCCCCATCCACGATAAGTAAAGCTGGAGGGGAAGCAGGACCCGGGTCGGCAATCAGGACTTGTTTGGCAGGTAGGTAGTTTAGCAAACAGGTCTAGTCTTGTTTCGATTGACTCCTTCCCCTGGAGTCTCAGCGTCATGTTCGTGAGCCTGAGATGTGTGGCAGGGCAGGGTAGGAGGCTGCGGGAGGAGGCATCTATCGGTGTATGGTGAGTAAGGTGGTTCAAAGCGTACACAAAGGTTAGACACATGGAATTGATCGATTCACCCCCTCCAACCCAATTCTCCCCTCGGATTACGCATTGTCCCTCTGACGTTTCTTCGAGATCTCAGGCTCTGCTGAGCTGAACAAACTCGGCAAGTATGACTGAGACAGGAGATCTAATAGATCGATCCAAGAACTAATGCATGACCTAGTGTCAAGAGCGGATCGTCTGAACAATATGTAGATGTATTCCCAGCTCTGCGGTTGAAAAGAATAGTGTGGGCTTAGCTACTTGATCGGGCCAGTCCTTGCGCTGGGTAGTGGTGGAGCGAGGACGAAACTTACCTCAGCTCAAACTTCTACCCTGACCCTTGAATATCTCTTGCAGGTTGCCTGCTTGTAGCACTTCTTAATGATATGGGGTAACAGAGGGCCTAAACCAACGGGGAAGCCACAGCACGCCGAGGGTCTATGTAGGTTGTATCTGCTCAATGTTGAATGATACCTAATGAACATCGAATATCTGAAACTGAAGGTGTCGAAGCGGGCTGCTACAGTTTTATCCCATAATCTTCGGTGCTATTGTGAACCGGAATAACTGAGCGCTTGGGTGTCGATTGCATAAATGCGATTACATTATGGAAACCTCGGTGCATAAACTCATATGAGACGGGATTGTCTGGCCGCCATTGTAGGCACCCATTGACTCTGTGTGATATTACATAGCTCTGATAATATGGTTACCAAAGCTTTAGCAGCTCGCCACGAGTCATTAGTCTTGATCTGGGTGTAGCTGATTATTAGTAACCACGATAAGGTTTCGTTTCGAGAATTCAACTATTACAGGCTCACAGCTCAAGAGCTAATACAAACCACGCGGGTTTGTTCAACGATCGTCCGTGACGTTGTACTAGTATGGAGAGCAATTGCAAGCGAAGTCATGGGTTCCGTCATGGAGTTACATGGTAAATGAACGACCCTGCGAGCTTTGAGGAAAAAGAAATCCCGCCAAAGCTTGACCAGAGTGCTGCGGTCGCCCCACGACAACCTACCTAGTTTTCTTCTGACAGGCGAAGCTGGGGTCACATCGAAGCTCAACCACGTCGGTTGGGGGGTAACTGAAGAAAAAAGATCTTGGTTCGAAAAGGTCGCTCAATTTCCATGGCCAATGAGACCTTTCCCGCTATATCCTGACGATGTGTTGGCGTGCTTGGCGGTGGGCTGTCTGCGGACGCATGCCTCAGGCCTTGGCGGTTTTCTTGGTCTTGGGAAGGCAACTCTTGCAGGCTAATTAATCCTTGCAGACGATGGCGGCCGGGGCTACCGGAGGCATTGTTTAAAACCGGGTAGGCAGGTGGCTGATCTAGAACCGTATCCAAGCTCTCCTAGGTCAAGCTAATGTCGATAGAGGCCGGGGTAACAGGGTGAACGGACCCTGCTAGCCTATCGCATTTCCGGGATAACCGATGGACGGCCGATGGACAGTACCGGCAGCAGATGGTATGCAGCAGCTGGTTTCATCCCTTCCGATTATGGCGAAAATACCCGCCGGTCAACACCGCGACAACAGCATGAGCAAACAACCGAGTCAAACAAGATGCCAACATCAAGGCGTATAGGCCAGAAACAAACTGCTGCACTACTGGCTTGCTATGGGCTACGCCGAACCTTGGGAACCTACACTATTAGGAAACTAAGCTGATAGACACTAATGTAATGATCCTGCAGGGGCAGACTTCATGTGTCCTCACACAGTCTAGTATCCACGCTCGGACCTGTGGTTCTCAAATAGGTAGTCAGGAATATTGGACCTAGATCCTTGGTAAATTGCCTAGCTACCAGTAGTGTATTCGATGTGTCTCGGGATATGTTTCGAGTGTTGTGTGGTCCTAGCTCGCAAGACTACTAATAGGCAGAGGGTATGCCGACCCGCATGCCCTCGTCTCTCTGTTTCATCCACCGATGTTAGTAGCATACAAGGCAGACTAATCATAGCAACCCCTTTACCCAGTCACCGCCAGCGAGGTGGACGTGATGACCGCTGACAAGTATCAGGCAGCGGCCTTGAGCCACTGCCACAAGGCCACCGTCTTGGGCAATATAATCGCCATTCATATGCTCGAGTACATCACGGCCGCCTCGAGCCACCATGACGGCCTTCACGAGCTGGCCCATGATTTTCTCGACGTTTGCCGGATCATGTGGTCTATAGAAGCAGGCTTGGTAGAGTATACGCGGACTGGCCAATCGTTGCCAGTAGAGATGACACAGGAGCTCGATCGCAAGTTCAACACCGCCCATGTCGATTTCCAGGGCGTCGATCATTGGCTCAGTCGCTCCCTGAGCGAGGAACGCGGGGGTCCGGGGAAGAAGCTATCAAGGGGCTGGCGGAGAATTTTCTCGGGGAATGAGATACCAAAGATGAGACAGGCTCTCGGCAAGACGCGAGAGTCCTTAAGGATGAGCGCACTCATGTTCCAGTGGTCCATCGGGGAGGCCAAAATCGACGAGTCCCTTGGTATTGGATACACTGCTCTCTCTGCAGCTCTAGATCGACTTGAGAAAGGAAGCTCGAGCAAAGGGAGCATATCGAAACCTAGTCCAGGCATGGACGCTTCATATACGAGTCACAGCCATGATCAAAGCCAGGTCGTCGAAATTGCTTTGGATGATCATATATCTCCAACCCACACACTTACGCTGCCACGCGCGAATACGGTTCGGTCGTCGACATCTGGCCCGCCAATGCAGTTCTCACTTCGGGATGATCACCCACACCGAGTTCCAGATTTGCCAACGGAGCCAAACTGGAATGGCTTGGGCCAGCTCGACTTGTCTAATGGAGCACGCAGACGAACGCCTTCACATCATACAGACACGGTTTCGACGCGCAGCGCCCACAGTCGAACGACACCCCCTTCGGACCCGCCAGAGGACCTCAGATCTGGCGGACTGGCCGAACTTGAACAATTGGGCTTGTCGGATCATGAGTATATCAGCGACATGAAGCCAACTAAGGTCATTCGCCTACCCGTGAACCCTTCGAAGATGCCACGCTGGGTGCCTCGAAACTCTATAGGCGCTGATACCCCCTCATTGAAACTCAACCTTATAACCGCAATTCGAGATCGAAACAGCAAGGCGGTCGAGCAGCTGCTCGATCGCGGGGTCCCCGCAAATGTTGGCCCAGACTATCATGCCCTGAACGAGGCCATTCGTCAACATGATCTCGAAATTGTGCGCTTGTTGATGCTATTTGGCGCAGATCCTAATTTAGCAGGACACTCAGGCGCATCGCCACTCATCGCAACTGTCGAGGAAGGCTTCTTGGACGCTGCCTCTCTTCTCCTCAAGTATGGAGCTGACTCCAATCTCCCCCCAGCGATTGATCACGACTCACCCTTTGCCCTCGCTGTCATAAAGGGTGACACCCACTTTATACGTCTCTTCTTGATGTACGGCGCAGACACAAACCAGATAACGGCCGACGGCGAGACAGTTCTGACGAAAATCATCGGCGCCAAATGCAATAGATCTCTAGTCGACATGATTCTTAACTACGGTGCCGATGCCGATGGCAAGAGCAAGGAGGGCGAGACAGCGCTATTTAGGGCGATAACTGCTGGCCGCGTGGACATCGTCGTATCACTTCTTGACCATCATGCGAATCCGAATCTACCGGGACCGAAGCATATGCTCTGGCCGGCCGCATATCAGCCGAAGTGCCTCCAGGTATTACTTAACCGCGGGGCAGACCACAAGAAGACACCGGGTATTATGGAGCTCGCTACGTCTATCAACAAGATTGACTCAGTGAGTGTTCTGCTTAACGCAGGTGTTGATCCCAACTCCAAGAAGGACGGGGTCTACACGCCATTATGCTCTGCGATTCGCGACAATCGCGCAGACATATTCCACCTTCTCCTCGCCAACGGCGGCGACCCCAACGTCCCGGCCTCCGAGTACCCCTGCTTCAAATGTGTGACCCATAATCGATTACAGTTCTTACCGCACCTCGTAGCGGCGGGTGGCAATCTTAATGCACCCAAAGGCATCGCGGAGACGGCGGTACAGTTTGATAATAGTAAGTCAATCAAACACACGACTACCTATTATACGCAATAGAGACATAGGCTAACAATTTCACAGTGGAAGCACTACTATGGCTTTTGGATAATGGAGTATCGCCAAACGATCAGGCACCTGACACAAGGGCAACGCCTCTAACAACAGCAATTGGCCTGAATAAACCTGATTTCGTCGAGGTCCTCTTGGCACGAGGGGCGAACCCCAACATCCGTGGCCAAGATTGGCCCGTCTGCATGGCCGTTAAATACCCAGTCATCCTGAAGCGTTTGTTACCTGCCCTTGCACAGCCCCGCGCATTCAAGGGTGTTGTGGAAATGGCTGTATCAGCGAATAAACTAGAGTCAGTCAAGTTATTACTAGCGGCGGGTGTCAACGTTGAAGACCGCAACGGCGGTGTGTTCAGTCCTTTGACGACAGCAATTCGCGAGCGTCACAAGGATATTGTAGCCTACCTTCTAGATGAAGCCGGTGCGGACCCGAACTCTCCTGGCGAGCATCTCCCTATCGTCAAAGCGCTACGTCGCTACGAACCCCCCGACACGGAGATCATCGAGATGTTATTACGAAAAGGCGCGGACCCGAACAAGGTGTACCGTGGCCACAGCGCCATCATCCAGGCGGTCGAGATGGGCGACCCCTTCATCCTACGCCTACTGATCGAGAAATGGGGCGTCGACCTAGACGCCATAGACGACACCGGACGCACGCCGATTGAAATAGCGGAGATGCGCGGGTGGGAGGAAGGAAAGGATATCTTAATCAGGGGCAAGAAGGCCGTGTGACTATCTACAAGACCGGCATGGGCGGGCCCAGTGAAGGAAGTATTAGAGATCAAGGACGGGTTCTGGACCATCCAGGAACCACTCCACGTCTGAGAAGTATATGAGTTTCTCCTGGCGAGATTTCGTTGATACCTACTTGCTTTAGCTACTTACTACTCCACTGCTCCCTATTTTCCTATGTTATTAATGATCGGGGGCAAAATGGGGGGATGGTCGATTACGATAGCTTACGCGCACACAACGCACCGCCTTCTTTCCTATGTCACGAACTAGCGCTGTCATTTTACTACTACTCTTTATGATTCAACAATATGTTTATTCCCCTCTTTGTAAATACAAAGTTACGATACCTTTTAAATACCATCTTCCTTCTCAAAAGGGTTCGTCGATGAGATAATCGTGAAACGGCCGTTGCCCGTAAGCCTCGGAGCGGCTCGCTAATTGCGTGCCGGATCGCGATCCTTAGCTCTCACTTTGTTGCCTGCCTGCTTGTTGCGGAAAAGCTACCTCGACACGGATGAAGGAAGGATTCTTGGCTTGGCCTAGCTTGGCGGACATCAACCCAACCAAAGTTAGGGGCAATCAAACGCTCACTCAGACACCACACTACTGACGAAGTAGGTATACTCAGTACATACTGCAGCGTAGCCTTAGAATTGGAACAGGGATCATGCCTGCAGTCGAGATGTTGATCGAGTCTATGCGCTGCAGACGCTATGACGGTCGGGATTTGACAGGGCGCAGGGCTTGGGGGCCATTTTTCCGATCGTGGGGTCGCGGGGACGTCTTTCATATGACCATATCGTGCGGAATTAGTGCAGAGGCAAGTGGATGGTGATGTGGCGGCGAAGGTATCATGATATCTATACTACTATAGACTGCATCGCCTGTTAATATCAGGGATCGGGTAGCCAGCTGCGGGGAGAGACGCCGACAGAGATCGACAGGTTACTGATGATCGAGGAAGAGGACGGCATATTGCTATCTAGGGTAATTGCCCAATGCAAGAAGAGCATTAGGCGCGAAAAATACAACTACGGTATGCGCACACCCTTAGTATATGCACGCTTAGATACCCGGATCCTAGCATGCTCCGTGCGGCATTGCAACGTCAGTTGGTTCCCAGGTGCTAATCAGCGAGCATTGCAAAGCTGAGAAAGCACTGGGAATCAATCCAGGGTTCGAGGCCCATTCAAATTCGAAGGCGAGGACGCAGCCGAGAAAATCGGATCCGATGATACCTGGTGGTTCATGTGGCTATGGGGCACTCACCCGTGTTTCTGCTTCATATAGATGGCTCTCAGGTTACGTTGTCGATGTTTCGGCTGCAGACTGCCCATCTCCAAATCAAGGAGTTTATAAGATGGTGTCGAGTGAGAACCGTTCAATGGACGAAGTGTAGTCAAATAGAAAAATCATATCAAGAATGAACCCGGGATTTGGAGCATATCATACCTGAAATCAGGACAGGCTGTCTGTATGAAAACCTGTCTGTCCGAGGCCCTAAGCCTGATATTGCGGCGTGTGGGAGCATTCAGCAAAAGCCCCGGCGAGGCGAGACCACCTATAGGCTGTCGTCTAACACTTCTCTTGTGCTGATCGCCCTCCTAGAGTCCCGGGTGGGAGAGGAACCCGAAAACAGAAATCCAGTGGAATGCGGGAGATGGCACAATAGCTTCTTTTCATACGTTTCAGGAACCCTGCCAGGGTTTGCAGCATACCTGACAGTATCAGACTTATGTGGGAGCTCAGACAGACAAACACGTGACTAACCATACCTCTTGTCTACCTAATTTGTAGTCATTGTGGATTAGTCGCAATGAGTGGACATTTCTATGTTACAGATCTGTGTGATTGGAAGCCATTAAGTCCATGTAGAAGTATTTGCCCAACCGGCAATACTTGCCCCAAATCCTTCAAACAAGCTAAGTCCCTATAGACTTTTCAGCCTCCTATTGAGCGATATAAATAGTACACTATAAAACATGCCGGTCTAAAGGAGCCGATGGAAAGTGACACGGCCGGAGCCGGCAATTGGAGATGCCGATCGACGACAAGCCAATGAATTTCATGACCTATTTACCCAAGAAGCTAGAGCCATTAGGACTTCATAGATTTATGAACTAACGCTAGAGTTTCCCTATCACAAATGTTTGCAATATAATAGCCAATGGCGTAAGGACACTGGTTTAAAATTCACTACTGGAACTACCAGAATTTGTCGCGGGGGAGCTCGTCAGGGCAAGTGGAATCGACTGGCTGCCACTCACGACGAACACGGTCCCACTTTGCCAAAGTCGAGTCGAAAGGGTCATATTCGGGCGATTTGAATGGCCAGTTCTTTGCCCAAAGGGTAAGGTGGCTTGTTGGGGTCGCTGAACGTTCAGCGATAAGTTCCTGTCGCTGGGATTCAAGATCTCTGGTACACCGCTCGATTTCCAAATACCAAGGTTTTGAAACGGTTGCCCCCTCTTCTTTTATGTATATTAGCATCTTGTGCACGAGAGCCAGATACTTCATCTGCGTGACTGAAGGGTCTGGTCTAACGACAGCTGAACCAGCATCCAGAGGATCTAATTCAAACGGATTATAGAGAACATTCGCCTCGCGCTTGTGGTCAGCAGCATCGTGGATGCCATAATTCACGGACTCTATTTTCTCAGGCACATTCCACCATTTATTATGCTTCCGTTCGGCTTCACAGTCCATGCCTGGCTTGAAAGTGACGTATCGAGCGTCTTGAAGCCGGGTAATACTAGGGACCGAATACTCCGTTTCCCTAACGGGCATCGCAGCATACATGAGTAGCCCTGATAGAACGCAAATCTGTCAGTGGGACAAAGTGCCGTCATTTATATGTTTGTAGGTCTCGATGTGGGCTATGTGTACATACTAATGGCGAAGTATATCCAATTTTTGCGAATTTCGCTAGGGTGCGGCATAGATGCGAAAAAATTGTCCCTGTTCTCCCAGGGCATGGCCAACCGCGCTCTATCGGCGGCTTGGCAGCACGCGATTTCATCCCTGCTTTGAAAACCTGCGACGAATATAGCCAGGAAATCCCAATTAGACCCCCACTATCACAGGTTTTGATTAGCACGAGTATGCCCTCATGTAAAAGGTAGGTCAAGGGCCCTTACGGGTGAGCAGATCCAATGTCTCAATGATTCCGTGAACCAACCCTTGCGGTACATGAATTCCTCATATACCGAATTCTGCCAATACCCCGCTATCGCACTCTCAAACCGATCCCAGTATTTTTCTTGCGTCTTGTCCAGTTGCCAATTCTTAAACAGGTCACATGACCAGACTGAAATAAGCCAGGCTAGTTAGCTAGGTAATTAACAATTCTACAGTTTGGATGAATATTCTCGACAGAGTCATCAGAGCAAAATCTAGGTTTAGGAATCGAAGGGTTGGGGTGGTATATCTGATCACTTACATCTCTTATCACTTTTCTTTGGTAGGTAAGGATTGTCCCAGAACTCAGCTGAAAATAATTTTGAGATAAACAAGGGAGGGAATGGCTTGGCTGTCGATGGAATGTCGGTTTGCCAAATAGGGTCGTGAGGGTTTTTCTGCCCTCCCGTTGAGTTCCTTGGCCAGTTGTATAACACGGAAGCCAGAGGCACGCAAGAAAGCGCTGTATCAGTATCACGTCAGCCGAAAAGCATGATGCCCCGAAGGTTAGGATGCAAATACTTACGAACTGGGTTATACCTGCCGCCAAATATTCGACGCTCCATTGCCTCACCCATTTCGGCTATCGGATCGAAGTCCATGAACTAATAAGAGAATAGGGGCTTTAGTACCTGATAAAACGCAAATCACACGACTATATGCCACAAAGAAGTATAACAACCTACAGGCTCAGGATGCTTACAATCCAGCCCTTCTTCATGATACCGGTGAGTTATAATGGCATGCATAATCTCGTGTATCATCTAATAAGGCGTTTAGCAGGTTACCGTGCGTTCCGCGGGGCACCAAGCTGTTTCATACCAGGGCCGCTATTTCGAACTGTAGCATAAATCTTTCCGCCAGTGTAATATCTTCAGTGACGAGAAATTTTATGGTTGTTGTGTTCAAGGCAGTGAGAGTGGTATGGTTATACCGTGCCTGCGCTTTCGTTGTGAAGCCCAAAGCGTTAACAGTGGGCGAGAAAGACCAAGTGTGTCTCCTCAGTATGTTTTCCACTATCACGCCGTCGTTAAAATAGAGTCATATTTTACACATCCAAGGGCAGGGGAAGGGAAGAGAAAGCTGATTCCAGATATCACCTACACCTGTCTTCCTATTCAAAATAGAAGGTTAGTATGCGATCTATGTAATCATGCGTGTCGAAAGCTCCGCAGCTCAGAAACATGAAATCTCCATGCTGAAGAAACTGCTCACTCGAAGCCACCATCAAAGCACAATAAGTATATGATCACGTCTACTAACCATCGCAACTATCCTCCTTTTGCCTGAAAGGTCGTGAATTGGACTCTTCTCAGGCGGACTTTGGCTCATGGCAGCTATTTTGTATTCCATCTCTTGCGTGAGGAGCACAGAAGCGCCCTCGAAGGGGCTTCTAACGGGCATATACTTAACCGAATCCCAGGGCACAATCCTTCCAAACAACATTGCCTCAAACCTAACAAATATGACATTTAGATGACGGCTTTTCCAAACTTTTGTGGCTCTATGTGCTGGCTACTTACCCACTGTGGTGATCTTCTATTAGTGCTCTTATAAGTCGGTCAGTTAATTCGAGAGAGCCTAGCAGGTTTTGCCAAATGGGTGGGTTGTCCACACTCCATGGCCCGTTGGACAGCCCGTCCTTGAACGGTCCACCTGAAATTGAGTGGAGGTCGTACCAGCGGTGTTTCTGGAGGAAGTCGTACCATGCGTCCTGATTGACCGAGAATCTCCTCAAGCCAAATGCTTCAAAGAACTCATTAGGGTCGTCTGCCGATCGGTGGCCACCTGAATATATCCCAAATTGATTTGAAGCGTACTATAGGGCTTAGAATTAGGACGGACTCTCTTGAGTGTGTGTTATGTGGGCCTAAAGGGATCCTGGAATACAAGAATGCCTGGAAATTAAGGCTTCGAATTCTGAGATTAACTTAACACACAAGGTAACGATTCAGTGAAGCTAGTTTCGTCGTTTGCCCCTTCGAAAAGAGCCTTCCCTGCAAATGTACACTCTGGAAGAACCTGTGATATTCAGCACCGGTACGGGGCTTGTCGTGTGGGTCAAATATAGGAGTAGGATCGCAATAGAATTTGGGGTGTTTTGACGGATATTGGATAGCTATCCCCGAATGTGTGGTGCCTTTCGAGAAAGAATTTAGCATTCATCTTATATTACTTAAGCAAGATCTCGCTTAAATGGTGTCTAGAAAAGTGTGCCGCCTGGAATCTCCGTGTGAATATAGGGTGGAATTTATTGCGATATATATCGAAGAAAATAGCCATTACCATCATTGTCGGTTAGAAGTACGTGTCGCTGCGGCGCACCACCCCCTACCCCCTTGAATCGCTCCGCCCACTGCAAGATAAGTGTTAATATATTTCTTCAGATTTAGATCGAGGGAATCCACGATAAATGGAAACATCCCATCACGGGATACATGATGCGTGGTATATGCTTAAGGAAATAAGGGAATCCGAGCGGGTCACGTACTGGTGAGTATCGTCCAGTCATCTTTGGACTACTTCGCCTCGAGGGCAGTCTGTTGTATTGCGATTAGGCAGGTTAGACACAACTAAGTCATAACATCGGTATAACATGAAATGAATATCGCCTCTGATGCCAGCAGCGAGGTCAATCAGGGACAGTTATGTCTCACAAAAAAAGTATGAACTATACCTAGGTAGCTTTGTTGGTGTAAATAGACAGTATCAATAGGACAACAAGGGCTGTAGTGCTTTGTTCTGCATGCGTCGAGTTGAAGGTAAGGAACAAAGGCTTGATCTACCCTGATATCACTTTCAAGCAAAACTCTCGAAGCTCTCGTCGTATTAATATTCCAACACTCAAATGTGGCTTCATTATCCAAGATGAGTGTGCGATGCCAATTGAGCATTCAGAGCTGAGGTGATCTCGAATCCGTCGCAGTTGTAGATAATCAATACATACTTTATTTCACCGATGGAAATAATCAAAATCGGACCTAAAGCATCGTATTGACGTGCTAACAATGCTATATGGAGAATTATAAGACAACAACAGATTTCGATCAATTTTTGGTATTCGAGATCAAACAACATCTGATTGACCTCGAGACAATATGATCGCTCTTTGTCTCGCTGCTACGCTGCATGTTGGCAAATCGAAGGGCCGGATGCATTGTGTAGCGTTCATTTTGAAAATTTAGGGAGGCAGCTTCGTGGTCTCTGTGGTGAAGGTTTGATTATGCTATTAATGCCCCCGCTGAGAGTTACCTATGTGTTTTTGTAGATTCATATATTGCCACGCCGCGAGCGAAGCTGGATTAGCTGCCGCCATTCACGGCCGCACTGTTCTCATCTGATGCTAAAACCCAGTCGCGGACACCGCCTTTCCAATCGCTTGTTCGTATATCTTTGATATGTACGAGTATCACGCGCACTTCCTCACCCGCGATGAAGCATTCGCGGCCGCCGTCTTCCACAGGACTTTGTGGTTGTCTGTTGAAGGACAACACGCCCTCTGAATCAAATGTATTGTTCTCTAAATGCTGTTCCCGGTAGTACTTTTCCTCATCAGAGCCGGGAGTAACTAGACGAGCGGTGCCATTTATGGTGGCACTGATACTTGACATGGCACTCGTGTTCATGTTGAAAAGCATAGACGCGAGGCTAGATCGGTGTTCGGGCCCAGGCGAGCCGCCGGAGGCTCGGCGACCTTGAGTCGGTGGGCGGTGAGATACCCCTAGCACATGGCGTCAGTAAGGAGTCGCTAGGCCGTTGTTGGCTTCTAAGGATAGGAGCGTTATACAGTCGTGGACTAGGAGGGACACGTTTGGATTGACGAGCAGGTTGTTGGTCTTTTTGGACGAGGGGTTTGTGGTCATGACGATGGCTGGAACGGTGGAATACGGCGACGATGGGAGATAGGTGTAGTTCATCAGAGAGACGTGAGGCTGATTATCGACACACGTGGCGAGGTGAAGCTATGGACGAGAACAAGGCTGGTTAGCGAAGGGGTAGGCAGTGAATTGACCAGTGACGAGCAAGTCCCGGGGGCTTGGTCTTACGAATCGAGCATTTTCAAGACATTGCACGACGTCAAGCGGCAGCTCGCTGACAGTCTGCTTATGCGTGTCGCCGGCAGAGGCCTCGTAATTGAGCGACACCTGTTCCATAGCTGGTGAGCGTGGTCAGGTTGTATGGATGTCTTATGATATAGGCAAGTCAGTATCTTTGATGGTTTTGCTGGTTTTACTGGTCTCGTCATGGAGGTTTGGAGGGGTACCCTTCACTAAGTACAATGGGCTACAGTGGGGAGGGTAACCTGGTCCAGCGGGTACCAGGCGCCGAACAAGGGTATTTAGGTACCTGTCTAGCATGGTGACGACAGCGATGGCACGCCAGGATGCTGCTTCATGTACCTAAGTAGCCGCGCGACTGCCCGCAATCTAGATCCTGGGGAATTCAAGTGTGGGGAGCCCCGGCGCTGCGGCTTCAGCCGGCCTCACTCGTCGCTTAGTCGCGGCATCTTGATTTACACCATCGCTCATCACCGAGGAATGCAGCAGCTGACCTTCAACAATCTTTCAATGACCTTGGTCCTTCTACCACCTCGTTGCGTACTCAATTTAAGACTATAGCCTACTCAAACCAAATTGGTGCATTGACCTTGCCAAATAACTGTCTTCCCGAGCGTGTCACCATCCATTATGCGGTCAATTAAACCTCGACATCTTCGTCGACGGGCATTCCCCCGCCATATCACCACGACCGTCACGGCTCAACCCCAGATTACGCCCATCACCTCTCTTTTGATAGCAAATCGCGGAGAGATTGCTCTGCGCATCAACAAGACAGCAAACCGTCTGGGCATTCGGACTACCACACTATATACCGACCCTGATGCCTCATCACAGCACGCTGCCTGCTCACCACATTCTATAGGCCTCGGCGCCGCCAATGGCTATTTGGACGGCGAGCGGATAGTGAGACTAGCAAAGAAACACGGGATCCAAGCATTGCATCCGGGCTACGGTTTCCTGTCCGAAAACTCCGTCTTTGCGAGAAGATGCGAGGAAGAGGGCATTGTCTTCGTTGGCCCGCCCGCCCAGGCCATGGCCGACATGGGAGACAAGGCGCGAAGCAAAGAGATCATGAACAAGGCCGGGGTGCCCTGCGTTCCCGGTTACCACGGGTCAGACCAGGGAGAGATGGAATTACTGAATCACGCCAAGAATATCAAGTTCCCCGTTTTGTTGAAGAGCGTCAAGGGTGGCGGCGGGAAGGGTATGCGTATTGTGATGGAAGAGGGAGAGTTTATCCAGCAATTGAAAAGCGCCCGGGCGGAGGCTAAAGCCTCATTCGGTGAAGGTGGTGAGGTTATGTTGGTGGAGAAGTATATCATACGACCAAGACATGTAGAAGTACAAGTCTTCGCTGACAAACATGGCAATTGCGTGGCGCTCGGTGAAAGAGATTGCAGTGTCCAGAGGAGGCATCAGAAGATTTTGGAAGAATCACCGGCCCCGAACCTCGACGACGTCACGAGACTTGACCTATGGGAAAAGGCTCGAACCGCGGCACTGGCCGTGGGCTACGTTGGGGCCGGAACAGTCGAGTTCATTCTTGACAAGGATTCCGGCGAGTTCTATTTCATGGAGATGAACACTCGTCTCCAGGTCGAGCACCCAGTGAGCGAAATGGTCACAGGGACTGACTTAGTAGAATGGCAATTCCGAGTTGCTGCTGGCGAGAAGCTTCCCTTGACCCAAAAAGAAATAATGGGGAGAATACAAAAGCGCGGCGCAGCGATCGAGGCTAGGATATACGCTGAGAATCCTGAAAGGGGATTCTTACCAGATTCGGGAAAGCTTGTCCACCTGACTACACCCAAGACTGATGATGATGTTCGGATAGATGCAGGCTTCGTCGAAGGTGACACGGTTACGGAAGCCTACGATGGGATGATTGCGAAGTTGATTGTCCGCGGCGACGATCGGGAGACAGCGATCCGGAAGATGGAGCTCGCTTTGCGGAATTACGAAGTCGTTGGCTTGAGCACCAATATAGAATTCTTGAAACGCCTATGCAAGTCTCCTGCCTTCGTTGAAGGTGACGTGGAGACTGGTTTCATTGAGAAGTGGAAGGCAGAGCTTTTCGACCCCGTGGCAGTCAATCCCGAAGTTTATGTGCAAGCTGCACTGGGTATCCTAGCAATGAGTCCCGCAGCAATCGAGTTACCACATGGAGGGTCTCTTGGGTTCGGCCACAATAATGTGGAGAGAACCTTTTTCTTTAAATCCTTAGACGCGCTGAGTGAGACAGAAGGAGAAATGGTGGAAGTTAGCATAACCCAGAAAGACAACCAGCTTTTTGATGCCAAGATTACCCGCAAAGGTAAGGAGGCACAATTCATTGCGGATATCGTATCCTCTCCAACTTCAGTTACCGGCAAGACGACACTATCAACTTTATTTCCAGACACCAGGATCGACACGACTGTTGTGCAAGATGCGAATAACGACAACAAGATTACCGTTTTCCAGTATGGCAGAAAGACTGAATTATCTCTCGTATCACCGACATGGTACGAGAAGGCGCTTGGCTTAAAAGAGGCCACCGCATCAGTAGCAGCACCAATGCCGTGCAAGATCCTGAAGAATGAGGTGAAGGAGGGCGATCGAGTGGTTAAGGGTGCTCCTCTTGTCGTGTAAGCATATTTCGTCGACATGCTAGAATGATCGCTGACAATGGCTAGAATCGAGTCTATGAAGATGGAGACCGTTATTCGATCCCCGCAGGACGGCGTCATCAAACGGTTGGCTCATAAAGAGGGCGTAAGTATCTCCGAATCCGGGTAATGAATACAACTGATGTTTGTTAAGGATAAATGCAAGGCTGGAACGGTACTTGTCGTCTTCGAAGAGGATGGTACCGCTGATTAAAGGCCAAACTGTTATCAAAATCGTGGAATAAAGTTTTAGCCATGTTCAAGGCAAGTTGGGTGAATTGCCCTTGTATATCAGTTTGATGTGGAAAGGCGCAATGAGAGGCCAGGCAGAGCCCTCCTCCTTGCGCGGGGTGAACACAACTCGGTTCAAGCCCACAGTGCCTAATACGTATTGTACCTAAATTATCACAGCATCTTGATGATCCCGAATTATTAACGAATAAAAGACCATGTAGACAAAGCTGAGACTCTATGTTTTCTTTCGCTTCTGATTGCTACAAGTTTTGAGATGATATTCCCATCTGGTGTACTGTGTAGAACACTGGCCTATCTAAGCCGGCACACCTCGTCGCTAGTTATCAAGAGGTTGTGTGTAGGTTTGTTATATGCAGACCCAATGATTGACGTCAAACCTCAAGACTCTTTGAGCCCTCTTTGGTTTCTGTCGGCCCGTCGAATTCTCGCAATCAATTTGAGCCTGTTTGTTCGTCCTCGTAGCCCTTCCAGGTCTTTATCGTACATGCCAATGGGTATGTTCGCCAACGCCTTCTTAATGCTTTATACATAATGTAATCAATATACTCATCTCTTCCCTCGACCAGACATTGATCGTAAGAGATAACGACCTGACCCCAATCTGCGGTGATCTGGTGGCGGACACATTCACCTCCGGAACTAATACTTCAGGGAGGGTTTTATTGGGGTAGTGCTTCGCGTGGAAGAGCAGGCGGTGTACGTGGTTCCGTATTGCGGTACTTTGGTTCCATGATCCCAAGCTACAAGGCAACATGTCAACATCCACTCCATGAAGCCGCCAAGCGTATCATCTCTTACCATGGACAGTAATCGCCAGACAGTATCCGACGGCTGGGCGCCTACACCAATCCAATACCGTGCCCTTATAGCATCCAACTTGATGTCCTTATGCAATCGTCCAGAATCATCGTAGGGATCTGCCTTAGGAATGGGGTCATATGTGCCGATGACCTCCAGAGGCCGACTATTTCGCGCTGTCCTGTAATTTCAGGGGAAAGGGTCAGTTTGTTGTCGCGTAAGGATGCCGAGGCGGTGGACCGTACCTCGCATGGGCAACGACTATGTTGTAGAAGGGAGAGTTCCTGCGGCCGAAGCGCGCCAACCTGATTTTGACGACCATGACGGCTGTAGCGACAGACAGTGAACGATCGGGATTGACTGTTACGGCGGCCCGGAGCAGTAAACTTCTTTCCGTGGTGATACCTATGTCCCGGTCTTGGGCCCTCCGTCGTGGACCCCCGTCAGCCGCAATTTGCAATCGATAAGCGCTGCGGAGCCGGGGGTGGGTTGATCCGCTGCAGCCAATCAGCACTTGCAGTGCCCAGCGTCCCCCAGCAATGACATAATGCACACTTCAGCGCACGCTTCAGTGCACACTTCAGGCCAGCAAAAGCCAATCACAGAGCGCCCGGAGCAAGTTCCGTTTCCAATGTTGTTGATGTCAGTGGTCGTGCCTACCTAGCTACCACTTACTTATACCGACCCAGGTGCCCCTAACACCCTCTGCACTTTCGCCCCTCCAAACGTGCCTCAACATAGTCCCCAACGTAATCCCCAACATAATCCCCCTACCTACCTTCATCACACATAGCCATTGATCATCTCGGTGCCGTGGATCGTTTCCAATTGCGCCGACAATGGCCTTCAAGGTGAGTTTGCCGGGAGCACCCTGCCGAGACTTGGCTTCCCGACTTACACATACATGCCCGCAGACACTTTCAGCTAAAGCTGCTGCGGCCCTAGACCAGGAACTCATGAGCACCGGTGCTTTCTCCATTGACCAGCTCATGGAGCTTGCTGGACTGTCGGTCTCGCAGGTCGGTATGTGCTTGCAACTCGTGGCACTGTAACGCTTGATCGGTCCGAGGTCGTTGTTTACATAGTCTTCATAGTTCATCATGTGCACCCACCCAGCAAAGGCAACAGAATACTTGTTGCTTGTGGCCCTGGGAACAATGGTAGGGACTCGTGGCCCATGCCGTCCATACAATGCGGGATGACCATCGACTAACTAACCAACCCAGGCGGCGACGGCTTGGTAGCTGCCCGTCATCTTCGCCATTAGTACGTGATGCTAAGATCCAACGGCCCCTTTGGTTTTCGCAACTCTGATCAAAGCGTGCGCCGCAATCCGTGGTGGCATGAAGGATCTGATCAAGTGCCAGACGGCTTTGACATGGCCCGTCACATTCAATTGACTGACTCCAAGGCTGGCAGTGGATACCAACCCTCAGTCTACTATCCAAAGCGCAGTAAAAATGACCTTTACCAGGTACGTAGGATTCTCGGTCGTATTTCTTGAGGGCTCGATAGTCTCTTGGATATTGAGCTCGTTGTGGAAGTCTATTATACTATCACAGGCTATGCTCTGCCATTTTACTCTAGTCCGCCATGAGGCTCAATCCCCTCTATTTTCTCTTGTTCTTCTGACCATTTTCATCGTTTACGTGTCTCATTTCACGCTTTCTTCATAATCTCTCCAGCTAGATTGAACGCCACGCTAAGATTAGCTTAGCGACTGGCGAAGCAATTAGAAGATCTTGAAGTCGCATTCGTGGATGACTTCATTTCGGCTATGAAATCAACAGATCATGTCGTCGATGCCGTTTTTGGTAAGGGCGTCGTGTTTGTCTAATCATGGTGTCGTAAATGCTCATCCATACAAGGCTTCAGCTTTTCCGGTGAGGTTCGCGAGCCTTTCCCCGCAGTCATCCAAGCGCTTGAAGAAACAAAACTCCCAGTAACCTCCATTGATGCGCCATCTTCCTGGGATATCGAGAATGGCCCTCCACAAGCCGGCTTAGGAAGTAAATTTAGCCCTACATACCTGGTCAGCCTTACAGCTCCTAAGCCTCTGGCTCAACACTTCAAAGGTCGGCATTTTATTGGGGGGCGGTGCGTATTCTCACTATCAAGTCCCTGTGATGGTCATAGCTGATAACGGAACCAACAGCTTTGTCACTCCAGCCATTGCAAAGAAGTATGAATTCGAGGTTCCGAGCTACCAAGGAATAGACCAATTTGCCGAAGTGGGTGGTGGGAGCGTTCGAAAATTATAAATGCTTTCAGATTTGGCGGAATTATTATCCCTTCCCGCAAGCTCAGCTGACATTACAGCCTCCTGTGCGGCTATAAGGGCAGACTGGACTCGGACAACGGCCCTCCTGCATGTCTTCATCTTCCTGGGTGATACCCACGGGGCAGCGCAGCAAGGGCGGGTGAAAGTGCCGACAGAACTCGATGAAAACGAGATATTCTTTCCCACAGACAGGGCACTCCGAGACGTGCTCAGTGCACATTAAAACCGTAGAATGAGCGTCGCAACTACAAGGCCGTTTGGTGTAGCGAAGAGCCCTATCGTCGCGGCGAGTATGGAAGCGTGGTGAATTGGCGTAACATCCGTCAATCTATGGCTAAAACCTGACAGGATACGTCCTTCGTACATGGGCAGACTCTTGGAGATATCATAGGACAAGTACTATCGCGCATATTCCAAACGATCGCCACCGAAGACCAACACGCGCATCCGATGTGACGAGTGATGACGAGCAACTGACTGTGGCAACCGACGCACATTCACAAATGACAACCTGCAGTCAGGGCGCAAATCAAACGGCGCAAACAACCTCCCTCATTGTCAAGACGACCAAACAAGCGACATTCAGTGATCCTTCATCAATACTACATTTTTTTATATATCTTGTGTAATCGCAAAGCATGTACTAAGTAGGTAGTGAGGCCGGAGCAAAAGCTCCTGCATGTAGTTGATAGGCTGCAGCAGCTCCCCATTTTAGCTGCTACTGCTTTCGTCCCTGGGTGCCTGGGTACTGTCTGGGGCCGTCGAGGCCGTCTCGTTACGCTGCTTCTGGATCGCCTCTCCCCGCCGATCCTCTATCCTGCGTCGAACCCTTCAAATCGGTCCAATGTCTCCATACGCGAGCACCTCAACAGTAGGCGAACGAGCCAGCGCTGTCAGTCTGCAGAAACGCCCAACACTCCGGTAAATGCGGGTCACGCGGAAGAAGTCCTCATCAGACCCTCGTCAATGAATACGATTTACAGGCACATTAGGCAGTGCTAGCGCATCCGGCTTAGCGTCCGACTATTACTTGCATGCTCACCTACAGAGACTAATTTGCCAAAACACCATAACAGCCCTGCATCTCAGTCTGTATATCTCGGATGATCTACATACTTATTGTATTCCTGTATAATATTTCATTTAGTGCTCTGCACCGATCGCTTTGGTTCAAGTCTGCTTGTTTGTTCAGAACCGCGATAGAAACGTCGATTAGGATCACCGGGTCTGACCGGTGTAATTCTACTCTGATAAAGTGTCAGATCTAGGGTTCCCATCCCCGCCGTTGATAGATCCGGTTATCTCTGATTGGCTTGGGGTTCTGAGCCCCGAACGTCAACAAAACAATTAAGGGCTTCTTGCGTCTTCGTCCAGTCAGTATGAGCCAAGTTCTACACATGAACATCATTCATACCAGCATGTTGTTTTCACTCCATCTCTGGTTCTACGATTTCTAGAAGGTACTGGTAACAGCGCGACCCCGCCTTCGGTCTTGGCGTAAACTCGAGGTTACACGACGAACCGGAGAGCTGATGGTAAGGCTGCAAATCTAATCACGATAGTGGCCGAGATAGGTCGATCAGTGAACCCACATTGGCAGTTGCGTGGCGAGTGCGCACCCAGTAGCCAGTCGCGGAAAGACTCGATTGGAAGCTCAAGAGTACACCGAGGGCGTTCGCGTGACACTGTTATCATGAGCCATTCCATTCCTCATGAGCAACAGCTTGCTTGAGCATCCGAGCGCGCCACTTCCTGGTCGCACTCAGCCACGCTAACATGGATACTGCAGGTTCGGTGTGGTCGCGTACAACTGCCGAGTCAAAAGGCAAGTGGAGAAGGACAAATTTTTATTGTAGCAAACACATGTACTCTCGTTGATGATTGAGGGATTGCTTTGCTTGCAGAGACTTAGTTCGCCGTCCCCCGACTCGGTGTTGAGCCGACGATTTATTGGCCACAATGGGGCCGAACCGCCAGGGCGGGACTGTGTTGTGGCGCGTTACCTAGTCGGTAGGTGACGAATGCACCGGGTGGCAACCGAGCTAGTATGACAGCTTACGTCGCAAACTAACTGTAAGACTGACGATACTTTTCCCTTGTCCGGGCAAACATGGTTTGGAGTTGGCCAGCCTCAAACCCTCGTACATCACCCAGTTATATTTACAAGCCACAAGTTGATTGGCACGTCGGTAACGGCCAGATCGTATTAGGTATGTGCACCTGAGCATTGTGGAGGGTTGTGCCGCATGTGCCGCATTTGCCACACCATCCTCTTCTTATATCCCTGCAACAAGATTTGATTGGCTGCCAACATTCCACTTCATTTACTCCATTTGGCACCAATGTGGCGTTTGGCGAGCCCACTCGATATCCCTGTGGCGTTTTTCGACGACATTCGAGTCAACTTTAGTTACATCCTAATAATTCAGCGCAAAACATGTGAAGTTGATTCCGCTACGTTACAAACCGAGTACGGTACTTACAAACGAGAGGCCGCCGACGGAAGCATCTCAACGTCATACGGCTCAACATGTGAACTGGACAGCGCCTGGACGAACGCAAGATCTGCTCCAATAGCAATGATAGTCCTGGTTTCCTGTGGGCCAGACTCGCTGCTTTCTTTAGATTTATTCCTGCAACTCATAAATCCCGAGAAACAACACCGGGCATATTACCAATCAAGCAATTGCGGCATGATTTATCCTACGCGTCCGAATGGGGCCAAATCAGTTACTGGGAGAAGATAGAATGACGATATCAAATGAGACGAGAGACTGAGCTAACACAACCCGATTCGAAGGGATAGCAATAAGGGATTGTCTTGTCTGACTTGCCCTACTGCTCTCCGTTTTGGCATGTTGGAGCTTCAGTGGTGTCCTGTGCCTATTTCAACAGTCTGCTTTAATTGGCCCTCTCATCACACCAGACATTTGTCGTATAACCGATCATGTGATAATATAATCTCTCACCGCATCCTATCGGAACAACTCAATTTTAGACATCATCTCTCTCATTTGACTATCATGTAAAAAGCCGTCGAAAGAAATCCGACAACCAATGGGCGCAACAACCATCAGTCCTTCATCTGTCAAGGAGCGTGATACTGTACATCTCGCAGGGTGCCCGTTCTCAAGTGACTTCTGGTACTATGTCGGAAATTTCACTACTTCCCCGAGACCCATCGAGCAATTTGATTTGCTCCTCGACTCTCGCTGTCGCCGAACAGGGTTGTGTGAGCGTTTCACAGTACTACTTTGGTGGCCGCTCACTACAATTGCGGTTTCCTAGATCGCGTTTGCTATCTGCGACCGGTTCTACATTAATGCCCGCTTAGGGCCGACTCAGAGACTCCAGCGTGGCAAATTCTGAACCCCCGCTCGAACTTCAAACATTTTACTATGTGAACGGAAAGGTATCACGTTAACCCCTCAGCAAAAAGGGGCTTTTTCTAACGCTGGCTGAGTAACATGGGCCCCTTCTAGAGTTACGCTGCCTCGCTGCCCAAGTCGTTCAAGGTTATTAGCATTACATCTTCCAGATCGCTCTGAAATCGAACGTATTTCTATAATATTCGAGGTTTTGGGGCTCCAAGCATACTTTTAACGATTAACCTCTGTCATCTGCAGCGTTGGAGGTCTGACAGAGTTATCTCCTAGTTAAAAAGCTCTCGTTTTTTCCAGCCTGAGCAATCGCAAATAACGAGAAATAGTTATGTGTGTACGTATTCGCCACGTTCTTGATTTCTTCGGCATCCCCTAACTCTTGTCTTCTCGGGTTAGACATTTCAGACTGCGCCGGGGCCCTAGCCGGAGAAAACTCCGTGATAGAATTTAGTACATTTTCGGCTTTATTTACGCGCCAGTCTTCATGTGCACATGGCCTTTGAATTAGCGAGTCGGTAGATGCCGAGTCTCCACATAAAAAACGGGGATGGAATTTCTTATATCGGTAAGCATTGAGTTTTCAACAAACTGTTGGAGTTAACCATAAATCGTCTCATCTCGAGAGTACTAGGCTTACTATCAAAGTCTTTCTTTGAAAGTGGTTCTTTAGTGTTTGCAGCCTGTATATCCACTTCCCCATGGTCATACTTACCCAGGTAGCTTTCAGCGGAGTAACTGCTCCGGGCGTGAGATTAGGTATACCTAGTACATTAGATCCACATTAGCATCGATCGATGTGAGTTGTTCCATTTCTTCTTCTCCTGGATTTTGGCTTGGAATACAGTATTTCATTTAGCGGAGATATTACTTACTTGAGCTGTTCAAGCGAAGTATTGCATTGCTACCTACCCACTAAACAGCTTGTTCAGTTTACGATATGCGCCGCAGTGAAGCCTGAGAGGCTTCATTGGCGCAGTGTTAGATATTTGATTTAAAGTAATTATTCATTGCGTCTTGGGATAAGAGTTATATTCTTCGGTTATTTCGAGCACTGAATCAATCGCCTCTTTACTGTTGTATTCGTCCTTTCATTGGGATAAGCAGGCCTGTAATTTCATGGCTGTGGTACGATAAACGGAGTATGCATGTACGAACTTTTGATATTTTGCGGTCACGATGAATCATACGCTGCCAAGTGTTGACTTTATGTGGCCAACTCGGACAAGGCTGGGGTTCTAGGTTCGTACTTAGAAGTTTCATTGACGGAAGACAGGTAGCAAGACTGCCCAACTAGTGAGAGATGGATAATTTCTTAGGGACAGTTTCGATCTTGTTGACAAGATGTTCAGTTCGCCGGCCTTCAGGGCATATCGGGTTGAATAGACCTTCGTATCGCGAAGGTTCTGCTCATGTTCAACAGCAGTGCGCTGCGCGTTTAGGATCGCCAGATGATCATATAGTATTTTAAACTGTATGTTTAATGTATTGCCTCGAAGAGAGATCTCAAATTTCTCTAGATATAATCGCATAATCAAGATAGATTATACCACGCAACCCGTCACCATTCTAAGACTCCAGACCAAGAGTCTCGCTGTACATAACCCTAGCTTAGCCACGAAGGCTCGTAAATCTTTGCGCTAACAACGAATGTCACGCAGCAACCCCCATTGTAGCAGTTGGAAAGTGGATGGGGTAGATCTAAAAGGAGAAAATCAAATGAAGTAGAAACTGCGGGAGGAATAGATCGCGACGCTCACTGCCGCCCCTGGCTACCTATCCAAGGTATTAATGGAGAGTGTTAAAATGATGCATGGCGATAAAGGGGGCTGATCACTCGTATATGAGTGTTTCCACCTCTTGACTTCCGTCCTAGTATCCCGATATAAACAGTCACGTCTGTGCAATTGCGACTCACACCTTGGGAGCTATTGATTAGTCATCATAACGAACCAACCAGGTGTTATGTCTGTATTATTATCTAAACTGTTTAGGAGTCTACTGTAATTATGGCAAGGCACGGAAATTTGCATAGAGGAGTAGATCACTGCCATAAGTTCATTGAAATGGAACGTGAATTCCTTTCTGTCTTGTTTTTGGACTTTTTATTTTTTATTTTTGGGGTAATGACTGGTTAGGGCCTATGAGTACTTCCTGTCGACAACAGACTCGATTTCCTTTCTGTGTCGCTCCACCGCTTTTCTTGATGTTCATCCCTTTAAAAGACAACGTTGATATCCTGAGCCACTCTAACAATCTGGGGTAGCTATCATTTCCCATTCATTCATTCATTCATTTCCTCCATCCATTCAATCATTCCACATGACTCTGTGACATATTTCCCTTTTTAAAAAAAGAAGAAAAAAGATCTAGCGTAGATAAACGCGAAAACAAAATGAATATCGATTCCATGATACACAAGGTATCCCAATCCCCAAGCCAAAGATCGGCATATTATCCTATGTTCCTCAACCGAACTCAAAGATTGAAATCGAAAACGTCGTGATCCGAATCACGATTGTCCGTCGTTATGAATTCTCGAGTACTGATTTCGATTATGACGAGGGATTCCGCTTGCGCGCATTCTTTAAATGACTGGCAGAGTACCCGAGAGACGGCCAATCCGTCTCGTCGATAGCGCTGCTCTCGGATTTGGGCTTCGCGCTTGGAAGGCTCGCCGGGCGCCCCGGTTGCGCGAATAACACTTGACTCCAGGTGCGCTGTACGGGGGCCCTTGTAGCTCTTGTTGTCGTTGTTGACACGGGCGCTGTTGGCGTAGACTGCGAGGTCTGAGCTGTCTCTGTGGGCTGTGTCGGTGTCTCCGGGAGGGTAGGATTGGGATTCTGGGTCGGCTGACTTGCTGGTACAGGCGAGGCTGCGGCGCTGCCTTTCTTGGCCTCGGCAGAAATTTCAAGAGCTTCTAATTCCTGAGCTAAAATTAATGTGTGCTCGCAGACCCAATTGGGCCGCCCTAGACAACTCTTACATTGCCTAGGTGTGTCATCCAGATCTGCGAGGGATTGAGGTGCGGACCTGCTGCCTTTCCTATAGGCAGGATACGCGTCCTCTGGATTCGGGAATATGAGCTGAGGGCTGTCGACAGGTGAAGCTCCAGCTTCTGTCGTGGTGTGTTCATCCTCATGACTGGAAGAGCTTTCGATAGCGTCGGCGGGAGGGCGAATATAATACGCAGCTTCATTAGAACGGCGCAGTTGTTCCAAGTTCTCGCGAAGTCGCTCTTCTCTTGACTTTGATCCGTTGTTGGTAGCATTCTCCAAGCCAGTACCTGCAGGGATGCAGGGCGGTCTCCAGTTCACATCCGGACTGTGTCCGTTATGCTGAGGAACGCCGGCGCTTTTGCTGCGCATATGCCTCGGGAGCATCTGGCCGTGGCTGTCATAAAACGAGGGAAATTGAGCTACACATTGCTGTTGGTGATTCGGGCCTGAATATTGCGCCGACGGGTTTGCGAGTTCTTGTAAACGGCGCAGGGCTGGAGGGGCCTGAGAAGGCCAAGGGAAAGCGTGAAATTGAGGATAGGGATATTCGGGGCAGTTGTGATACACCATATGCGAGGGTGATCTTTTTTGTTGACACCGCCAACATTCATGATCTACACGAAACTTGAATGGTGTTCCTTTTGGACAATGTGAAAGTGGTGGGTGAAAGTGCTCGCATCGTTCAGTGAACACCGGTCGCCCGAAGTAGCACCCCGGGCAAATGTCGTAAATAATTACGCACATCTTGGGCGTAAGACTGTTGGAGAGTGGAAATTCGAAGAGCTGTTTCCTTGGAGAGTTGCAGACAGCGTGAATAGGCTGTAAGTCGAAGCGCAACTTCTGCAGTGTAAATTGCGAGTTCGCGAAGTGTTATGTCTGATGTTGAAGGCAGGCGCAAAAAGATGAGGTAGTGAAGAGGAAGTAGCTTGTGTGAAATGGATTGTGGAGGAGGAAGAAATGCGACTGGAGCCAGCAACAACAGGAAAAGAAGTAAAGGCTAACTGGAAAGTAAAGTAAACATCTCGTTGCTTGGGGGAATGCAGTTCATACGCGACCATGAACCTTGATAAGCCTGCTCTCCCAGATTCGCATTGAAGCTTTGTGTGTGGTGGTTCAACTTTAATTCACAGTACCGCAGCACCGATGTGGTTGCTTCCACCATTACCTGAGCACCCCCAGCGCAAACTTTGGAGTTACTTGCCACTCGCCTACTTGAGCTATTGTAAACCGTCATCCCGCTGGCCACACATATGTAACGCGATGGATTGGAGAGCGAAGCTGGTATGAAGAATGATAACGTTGAAGTACCGGGGGCTTCCTGTCCCCTGTGGTCTGAAAAGGGGGGAGCATTTCACAGTGCGAATGTCGACCCGCACTTGTACATACCCTATTATGAACTGTGTACATAAATAAGTACCTGGGTGTCTGCATGTGTAGGTATCGAACAAGTGCCAACACTGCATGCAAAGTATCTAGCTGGCATCTACTCTCTAGGTACTTATGGCAATATGTTGCCGAGCAACTGTTGGTACTATTTTCAAGTGAAAAAAAAAAACCCCCCGTAAACAATTAGATAAACTTTTACTACGCATTCATGACCTCTTAAATAACTGACTAGGTATGGATAAACTATTATTCTATATGGCCAAAATTATTTAAATGTTGGGCTAAATATTAATCACTAGAGTGATAGTCAGCTCACTGTGGCTGAAAAAAACCATATCAAGCACCTCTGAACAGATATGAGAAACACGGTGCACATTCAAAGCAAATCTTCAAAGAAGACATCAAGCTGGCCGCATCTTCAACCTAAGGACCCCTTCTTCATGCCTCAGATACATATTGTTCTCGTCGTCTGTCTTGTAAGCAATTTCCTCTGCAGTCACAGTGTCGAGATTAATAGCAATAACACCTCGCGTCTTAAGCTGTTCAATGTCTCCAGATGAAAGCCATTCCGCTGTACAGGAGAGCTGTTTACAGGAGGAGCCTTCACCCTGTATTTGATGATTGCGTTTGCCGGCATACTCGAACTGGAGCTTCAAAGGACCTGATTTGTACACTGATGAGATTTCGCCTCGTGCTACACTGTACGTCCTGGCTTGCTGTTGGGTCGCGCTCTCAGGAGGGGCTGATGATGCCGTTGAAGTATTCCGTGCGAAGCCCGTGGATGGCTCGGCGTCTGGGGATACGGGGGATGCGCTACGACGAGGCGATGGTTCGTTAGGAGTTTTTGTCTCGGTGGATGTTGTCGCTGAAGAGCCCTGCGTAGCGATCGGAGACTCCTGAGGTATTGGGCTCGTGTCTGCTGATGCTGTGCAGACATCGACCGGAGAGCCCGAAGATATAGACACGACTGCCGCGAGCACTATGGGAGAAGTGTTTTCGTTACCTGCGAGAGTTTCGAGTTCTGCATCATCAATTGATGATCTCTCCTCCGAAGGGGCTTTAGATTTTTCTACCACAGTCACTAGCACAGACTGTTTGGGGGAATCGTGCAGGGAGACGGTTTCGAGTTGTTTTGTCTTCTTGCCTCCGGTGACATTGTTTGAAAGTAGGCGGCCCTTTGGTTGTATCGGTAAAGATAGCCAAGTTACTACACTTAACTCGCTCTCTATGGGTTCAGGGTAATTGGTTTGCTTTTTCCTTGCATGCAAAGTTTTTAGACTTTCTGCTATCTTGTTTTCAAGACGTTGATTAAATCTTGCTGCGATATCACTGCACCACTCGCTTTGAATAATATTAGGTAGCCGCCATCCTGGGTATAGTCTTCCGTGAGACCGTGGGGTATGTATTTTGCCATGCATAAGTATGAAATCGTTACAGAGCCAACATGCACTCTTGCTTGAGCAGATTACTCGGGGTAAGGGCTTTCCTTGTAATGTGGTTTCGCAGTAATAGAGAAGCTGGATTTCAGCATGCACTTTCGAGTTCTTCGAGATGTCTTTGAACTTATCATCAAACTGGCCATTTGCTTCCACTCTTGATAGTTGGAGCAGTTTACAGATTTGATTAACATCTTTCAGCCTGCCCTTCAGGTTCTGAACTCTAGATATTGTAGATTGGATGCTTGCGCGGTAGTTGCTGTCGGTTGTGGGACGTTTGAATGCCTCAGTTGGTAATTCAACTATAACAATCTGCATTTGTCGCACTTGGGAACTTTTGCGTGCTAGCCGACGTAGAATTCTAGCAGCTTCGCGATATCTTGAAACTTTCCGGATCATGTTCGACAGATAGAACCGTACTTGCAAGTTTGGTTCACGACGAAAGGCTGCTTCCAGTATAGCCTCAAATTCTTCGGTTTGTCTAAGGGAGTTTATAGCATCAACCAGGTTTTCCAATTCTTGATCAGTCGAGTGTTTCGTCCAGGAACTAGCAAGTCTCAGGACTTGTCTTGCCCGCTCCAAGAAAAGCTTCTCATTCTTAGATGGGCTATTGTGGAGGTAATCCACTACTGGCTTGAGACCGCCCGCAATGGTCGTTCCCTCCTTGCTTTTCTGACGACCTTTCTTCTTCCTTTGAAAACGAAGCCGGTCAAGGATGCGACTCTTGCAGAGTTGGATGATTTCGGTGAATACTTTCTGTTCAGTGTCTCGAGAAAGATCTAGAAGAGTATATCAGCATAATAAGAATTAAGACATGATAACAACGACATAAGTGGGCAGGAACCCTACCATTGGCGTGCTTGAGAATAGCTGCGATTCGGTCGAACCCCCTTTTTACATCCGACGCATACTGTTTCCATCCTTCAGCAAGCCCTCCTTTCCTATTCACGGCAAGTAGAACCTTCAAGAACTTTTCATTCCGTGTGCTGTGTATGCACACTGCAGGAATATGGTCCGGATCATTTTCTATACATGACAGGAAAGCAAGAGTGCTGGCTAATCGACGCTCGTCCTCAAAAGGGATAGAATACCCGGCTTCCCTGGATTGGATACTTGTCACCGAGTTCGAGGATGGTTGAGCTGGGACGTAGTGAAGTAGATGTAGGGCCGCTATGCTTTCCGTACATTTGGTAGCAATATGTGGTTTGGCTTTAGGTGGCATCTTGCTTTCAGCGGTAAAGGGGATTTGACCGAAGTTCTAACACAAACGCATATTGTACAATTATCAGTCATCGATGGACGAGGGAGTCGTCGAGCCTTGCGGGGTTGATGCCACCACTTGAGATCGCGGGTACATGCAGTCTCACTGCATCTGAGTACGACCTCAACTTATGTAATATTGCGTATAGAGATGGCTATAATAGGACAAATCACATGATGTAGCGAAGAAACGATAAAGAGATGCCTCCGAAGCTTTGTGTGCGCTATATCGATGGTGAGTCATGCTCAACGGCATGTTTCTGATACCCGCGCGGCTTGGATTTCCCCTCACTATTATCAACAATATGTGGTTGCAGTGCGGCACAACCAACCAATCGCAATACATGGGATGCAACGCCATGTTTTACCGCGCGAAAGCAGCGTTCTTTTACGTGAAAGGAGACATCTCTCATGCTAGATTTTGGGGCCTTCTCTGCAACAAATATTTATCGGTACTGTGCTCTCATATTGATTGATCTAAAGAGTGAGTTCATTGTTTTTCTATGCATGAATTACTGGGACGCAAAATTGACTGACATAACATTACAGTCCTTTTAACTGAGCGGGAGATTATCAATGGTTTAGAGAGGTAATTGAGTCTTATATTGCAATTGGCCTAAGGCATGAGTAGACTGAGTAGAGGCCCGCGATCGGAGACGGTATGACCGATGCTAGAGTCCTATAATGGATGCAAAGAGAGATTTTTATAGATTAATGAAGCTATTTTTACCTTGATTTAAAAGGAACCTTTATAAATTATTAATTATACTTATAATATGGAGGTCGAGGTCTAAAATACCCATCACCGTACTTAGAGCAATCTGAGGAGAGCAATCAGGGAGGTTGAATGTGGTACATGTAAGTCTCAGAACAGGGCGTGTTATCTCCCTCCCTTACTTATATTTAAAGTATAGGGTAAGCAAAAACCCTGCCTCACGACCACCCCCCGTCACGACCAGGGCCCTAGGTACCCTAAAATGCGCTTTGATTCCCAACTACCTAATTAAATATTACTTAATAATATAACTGCGTTTAAGTTTTATAATAACTTTTTATCTTTATTTTATTTAAAATTAATTCCTTTTTATTATTATATCTTTTAATTTTAAAAATTATTATATTATAGCTATTATTTATATAATTTAATTTAAAACCTTAATTTAAATAATAATATATATTTAAAATATTAATAAATTATACCTATATTATTAGCTTTAAGGTATTCCTATTAAAAAATAAACCTATATTAATCTTTAAGCTTTATTAACCTATTATAAATATTAATTAATAAATTAAATAATAGGATAAGTTAAATTAAACTTTATACCTTTATTTTTTAAATTTAAATTTATAGCTAAATATATATTAATTATTTTAAATAATAATAAAAGCTTTAAAAAAAAGTAATATATATATTTTTTAATTTAAAATAATAAAGTTAAATTAATTAAATTATAATTTATTAATTATATATATATTAATAATATAATAATAATTAATATTAACCTGTTATAGGTAGGTTAAATCTTAAAGGTTAGGTATAATGTTATAAATCTCTTTAGTTTTATAATAGGTATTTAATAAAATTAAAGCTTAAAAAAGGGAAGAATCTCCTTTAAAGCATATATAAAAAGGGTACGTAATATATATAAAGTATATATATTCCAAAGGCCTTAAAATATTATAATATAATAATTATTCCTTTCTTTTTAATTAGGTTATCCTTAATTTAATATATAATTAATCTATTAATTAAGTATAAAATAAAAAGTCCAATTATATAAGTATATAATATAAAGTATTATAATAAATATATTAATATAGTTTATTTATATAAAACTTTATTATAATAAAGGTATATAGGTATTAAGCTTATATTTATATTATAAATTATATATGCTATATATTACCTTTATAATAAAATTTATATATATATTCCTATTAATTATTTATTAACTTTTTTTCTTCTTTTTTTCTTTTTTCTTTAATTATTATTAATTTTAAAAATTAATCTTAGCTAAAAACTATTATATTATCTCCGTCTTTACCTCGTTTCCCTTTCTTTTTTTATTATATTTGTATTATTATTATTATCGTTTAAATTATACCTCCTAAGGGTAAAAAGGGAAAGGGTAAAGCTTTAGCCCTGAAAAGCGATTGTATTACCTGTAGCGGTAAGGGTAAAGCGCTACCATTATTACCGCCATCCGAGCATGATGAGGATGCGAACGAGGAACGTACCGACGACGAAACGCCTATGCCGCTACTGCCAGCACCACCAGTACCGCCACCAAGCGGCGACGATAACGACGATAATAACGGAAAGGGCGGTTTGGGCCAGGATTACGGCGGATCCGCTGGCCCTCCGCCCAATAATTATTCGAACTATAGGGGTAATTCGGATGTTAAGGGCAAAAACCCCCAAAAGAAATATAAATAATCCGTAAAGATAAAGAATTAATATTATAATAAATATATTAACCTTATAGCTATATTACCTATATTAATATATTATAGTTATATTAGGCATATTAAATATATATATTAATTTAACTTTAATTTTCCGTTTAAACTTAATTATTTATTTAATAAATTTAGCTCCATTAATTATTATAAATATATTAAAGTATATTAAATATATAAGCCTATTAATATTTTTATATTTATATTATATATAAATTATTATTTATTTAAATTTAACTTCCGTTTATAATAACTTTTAAAATTATTTACTTTATTAAACTTTTTAAATAAAGTTAATAAACATTTATATTTAAAATAATTATTAATAATATATAAGCTATTAATAATAATGGAATAGAATTTTAATCCGGCCTATTTAAATTTTATATTAATATTATAGCTATTTAATATTACTTTATTAAATTATATTTATACCTTCTTTTAATTTATTAAAATTATTTTAATATAATTAATAATTAAATTAATAAAAAGGTATAAAGTTATTTTATACCTATTTTAAACTTATTATATATTATAATAATATTATATTTATATTTAAATAAAAGCATTTGTTTAATTATAATTATATTATTATTAAATAATAATTTATTACTTATAATATAATTATATTTATCCTAATTAACGTTATAAATAATTTTACTTTATATTTTTTTTATATATATTTTTAATTTAAATAAAATATAGCTTAACGTTAAAGCTACTTTTAAGTAATTTTTATATATATATATTTATAGGATCTTAATTTAACTATATAGTATACCTTTATTTTATTATTTATAGTAAAAGTAAAAACTTTTATAATTAAATAATATAATAATACTTAATAGAGCAATATTTATAATTAAATAAAGCTTTATAATATTATTAATTTTAATAATTATTAAATTTGATTTTATTTTATATATAGTTTAATAATAAAATGTAATAGTTTTTTAATTTTAAAGGTAAAGGTTTAATTCTTTTTATATTAAAATAATTAGTTTTTATTTTTTTATAATTAATTTAGGATTTTTAAAATCCTATTAAGCTTATTTTATATTTTATATTAATAATATTAAATATAGTTTTAATTTATACCTAATTTATTATTTTTAATTTTCTTCTTTTATTTTTAACTTTAATGTTTTTTAAAATTTTTAATTACCTTTAATATTAAAATATTAAATTATAATACCTATTAATTATATTTAAAAGGCTAGCCTTTTTATTTAACCTTATAGTATTAATCGTTATTATATATTATTTTACCTATTATATTTTTAACCTTTTATTTTTTTAAATTATTTTTAAGGTTTAATATAGGTAAACTATATTTATATTTAATAATTTAAAGCTTAATTAATTAAATTGGAAAAATAGGGTAAAGATAAACGTATTATAATAAAAGATTAATATAATATATTTATAAATTAACTTTACCTATAATTTTAAAAGGTCCTATATATTTAAGTATTAACTTTTTATAATAAAACCTTATATTTTTTATTAATAATATAATTAAGTTTTTAACCTTAAACGTTATTAATTTATATTTATTATTATAATGTTCCGTATATTATTTTAATATAATTTATTATTGCTTTATTATTTTATTTTTAATTATTTTTAACTTATTAAATTATTCTTATATAGTTAGGATTCCCTTTAATATAAAGTTATCCTTAATAAATAATTTAAATTTAAAAATATAGCTATATAAAGCTTTAAAAGGTAACTTTCCAATTATTAAATTAATTATTAAATTTATAGCAAAAAAAACTTATAAAAAAAGTTAAAGCTAATTAATTTATTCTTTATTAATAAAATATTATAAATAACCTTTAATTATTTAATTTATTTATTCCGTTTAATTATTAATTTTAAGGTAAAATATAATTAAAAGGTATCGTTTTATTTTAAAGTAATAATAAAGGTTAAACTAAAATTAACTTATAAAAATAGTACCTTTGTTTAAAATTATACCCTATAAACTATTATATAAATATTTAATTTTATTATAAAAAAGGATAGCTAGTTTTATTAAAGTAATAATAATATTAATTAAAAATAGGTATATAAATTTAATAAATCTATTAATAATAATTAATATAAAATTAATTAGTTTTCCTTTATAAAAGGTTTTAAACAAACCTATAATAAAGTTTATAAAAAGTTCCTATATAGGTTAATTAAGAATTAATAAAGTATTTAATTTACTATATTCTTAATAGTATTTTACCTTTATCCTAAAGTAGATTATATAGGATTTTATATATTTTTAAATATTATTTTATATATCTTTTTAAAAGAATTTATAATGTAAAAGTTTTAAAGTATAAATTTAATTAAAATAATTAATAATAGGTTAATTATAATATAATTTAATAAATTAAAAATAGAAGAACTTTTTAAAGGAAATATAAACCTTTTTTTTATAGTAAATTAGGTTTTTTTTTATTAATTATTAAGGGTCCGTAGCCTTTCTAGCTTTAAGTTAACGTAAAATTGCCTAATATTTAAGATCTTTCCATTAAACCTTTAAAATTAAGTTACCTAAATCTTTAAATAGCTCTAGGTTTTTACTTTTTTTAATACTTATAGCTATTCGCGTTTGTTTATATGTGATTACCTATATGAGAATAGTTCGTTTAATAGGTATACGTATAATATATAACTTATTAGCTAATACTTTAAGGTATGGATTAAGGACTTTAAATTGCTATATTATAGTAATTTTCCTTTTTAATATAGGAAGAATATTTATATTAATAGGCGAAATAGCTATAAAATTAAGGCGGCGTAAGGGTAAATTAGCCTTGTTTTTTTTACCTGCCCTATATTTAATAATAAAGTTAAAAGGAGTTAAATATATATATTAATAAGCTTA